CTTCACACTGTTTCTAGCATTTCCCTGTCTCCCTTTCTCATTTAATTACTGTCTGAATAAAGTGTCAATCCACCTTAAAAAAGTAAAATATTCCTGGGGGAGTCCCCCGTCTAGGGGCTGTGCCAGGAGGTAATTGTCACGATCGTCGGAGGAAGAAGTGGCAGCGTGATAAGTGAACATACTTCTTTTATTCCAGAACAAAACAACAAACGATACGAAACGTGCAGTCCTACGGTTACACAAACCAAACGGAACAAGATCCCACAAACACTGTGGGAAAAAACAGGCTACCTAAATATGGTTCCCAATCAGAGACAACAAGCAACAGCTGATTCACGTTGCCTCTGATTGAGAACCACACCGGCCAACATAGAAACAAACGAACTAGAAAATCACCCTAGCACACAACACACATAGAAACCACACACCCTGGCTCAACATAACAGAGTCCCAGAGCCAGGGCGTGACAGTAATGAAATTCACATAGCAAATCTCACTCCAAGCTTTCTTCAAAAGTTGGCAGCCCTGCTACCCTTTTAAGTATTAGAAAAATAGATTTTACCAGAATGCATTACATCAAGCATTCCAAAATGGAAGGGAACAAACTATAAATTAATTGGAACAACTTAACGTGTCATTACATGTTTGCAGTGATAAGTGGCAGATGGTTATGGTAAAATATGTGTCAATTGTCAAAAGAATGCATTGTTCATGTTTTATGTCTCATTTGAATGTCTTTGAATTGGTTTTTAATTCAATTCTACTTCCTGTAATTTAAATTCAATTCAAATTCTGCCATTTTGAGCAGCAGAGTATCAGAGATCAGTTTAGTTTATTTAAACTTGGTTTGCTTTTAAGTTAGAACATTTCCTGTTTGTGTGGGTGTGGTGTTGGTTGTGATTTGACAGTGTCCATGAGGTGAGTGGTTCTGATTGGACAGAGATAGGGGTGGAATTCGGAGAGTCCCCCAGAAAACAAGTCGCAGAGAGAGATGGAGTCTAGATATACACGAGTGAGAGAGGTAGAGAGAGCAAAAGTCGCAGAGAGAGAGAGTGACAGAGATAGTCTAGATATAGTGTTACAGGAGATTGAGATTAAAAAGACATGGATCTGTGACTGATCCTCTATGAGACGAGCTCTGACGCTGTCGTCTCATAATCATTCAGTATAACATCATTACCTAGTGCTAGGCCACCATGCATCCACCCACCCAACACAGATAGCATCATAAAACCAATATATATCATTCATCATCGTTGAGGAAGACCAATCCTAATGTGCAGGTCTGTTGTAAACTTGTCCTTACTTCAACTCTGTGACTGTGGATAGAATAATTACTCTGTTCCTCTGCAAGACTTTTCTTCTCAAGCTCTGATATGATAGATTTTTGTCTTATTCTGTCGTCTACAAGGATGTCTGCATAAGGTACCGAAGTGAGGGATTATTAATACACACACACTTCATGTTAAATTCCACCTGTCACAGGATAGGACAGTTCATTGACTTTATTTAGATTACGAACACCAACAGAGGCCAGTGAGGGCATATGCAGTTAGATTTCTCTCTCTGCAGTGTAACAGTCTTTGAACATCCAAGGCTGTGGTTTAATCAGTCTCAAAGGGTGGTCATTATCTGAGGAACAACCTGTTACGCCACTATTTACAATTACATTTTAGTCATTTAGCAGACGCTCTTATCCAGAGCGATTTACTGTTAGTGAGTGCATACATTTTTTCATACTGCCCCCCCGTGGGAAACGAACCCACAACCCTGGCATTGCAAGCGCCATGCTCTACCAACTGAGCTACACAGGGCCAATCATCATCATTAAGTTTGCCGACGGCACAACAGTGGTAGGCCTGATCACCGACAACGATGAGACAGCCTATAGGGAGGAGGTCAGACACCTGGACTAACCTGTGCCCCCGCACATTGACTCTGTACCGGTACCCCCTGTATATAGCCTGCTACTGTTATTTTACTGCTACTCTTTAATAATTTTTCTGTTTTTCTTGATAAATTGATTAAAAAAACGTATGTATCTATTTTTCACTTAACACTTATTTTTCTTAAAACTGCATTGTTGGTTAAGGGCTTGTAAGTAACCATTTCACTGTAAGGTCTACACCTGTTTTATTTGGCACATGTGACAAATAAGATTTGATTTGATTTGACAACCATATTATTCAGTGTCACTGATCTCCACTTACCACAGGTGAGGAGTGTCCCAGTTCTAGGGTAGCGTCCCAAATTGCACCATATTCCCTACATAGTGCACTGCATTGGACCAGGCCCTGGTCAAAAGTAGTGCACTATATGTCTGAGCGCTAGATAGCCCCCTGGTGGACTGAAAGGTCAATGCATCTTCAGTGTCATTGTCTTGTTCTTATACTATACACTGAGTGTACAAAACATTAAGAGCACCTGCTCTTTCCATGACAGACTGACCAGGTGAATCCAGGTGCAACTCACTATTAGAAAGGTGATCCTAATGTTTGTATAATAATAATAATAATAAATGCCATTTAGCAGAGGCTTTTATCCAAAGCGACTAACAGTCATGTGCATACGTCTTATCACTCTCACTCACAGCATCTGTATCGAACTGCAAAGGAACACACACACACCTCTGCCGAAGCATCCATTCTAACTTCAAAGGCAGAGAAAGACCTGTGACCTGTACTGAACTTAGTGTGACAGATGGTCCTTATAGCTGGCTGCTGTGTGACTTTCTACTGGTAACTTCTATATGACACAAACACATTACCATTTGGAGATACAGTATGTCTGATTGCATAAGGAATGTGTGGGGATGTATGGTCAGTTATACAAAAGGGATTGACATTAAGGTGTGAAAGGCCAGGAGTATTTTATGACTGCCTGAAGATTATGGTCAGTTGAATAAACTAAGGAGACCACTTGCTGAGATCTATCATGACCTGTTGTAGTTGCCTCAATAAGTTTACAAAGAAACAAGACAGACAGTGAGGCAGGATGTTAGTGATCGCGCTTTATTTGGAGTAATACAATAAATACTGGGAAAAACTAACTAGAAAGGAGCACACTCAATTATTTCCTCCTCCTTTTTACTGCAGCCAATCACCATGCTCAAATTAAAGCCACCTGACTCTTCATAGACCTGATTAGAAGTCTCAGAGGTCAGGTCAGTCTGTTGCATTCTGGGATTGGACCCCTGATCTTGGAGGACCTTCAGGGGTCAGCAAAGGTCATGGGAGTCAAAAACAGCTGGAGGTAGAAAGTTGCCTCGTAACCACAGACCTAGGATCAGATTATCCTGCCCACAGTCCTAACACTAACCATTAGGAGGACAGTAAAATAATCTGGTCCTGGACAAGCGGTTAGGGGTAAATTCTACCTACTCAACAACAAGACCGTTATTCAGATCAATGATTCCACACCTAACGGCGCCTGCATTCTGACGTGACATCACAAACAAAATGGAAGCTTGGACAAACTACTACTCTTTCAGTGAGACAGTGAATCGGATCGTGTTCAGTGGGCACGAACTGGGAGAAGATGTTTTGGAACAGGGAGGTACGACCTGAATTTATCCAATAAAGAACCCTCATTTTAGTTTGCAAATACTTTTACTTCATTGTGCCCTCCTGAACACCATAGATTTCACAGGACATTACTTGTATGGCACTACCCAAATACTATTCCATTGCTCTATTTCCTGTCAAACAAGTGCCAAAGCGTTTTGAAGCATTGCATGTTGACAGCAGTAATATTCAAAATATTTAAAACATTAGTCTTGTGTAACAATATTTCAGGAATGTTTCTTCACATTGAAGGAAATGAAAAACAAGGTTAATTGTATTATTAGTAATCCATTGTAGCAAGTTACATAGAACAGCATACATTTTTAAAAAACAGTAGCAATTTAAATTACTTATTTTTGTCAAAGAAGCCAAGATCATAGAAATGTGACCTGTAGATATCCAATCAGTCCTCTTAAAAAAGGTGTACTCACACAGGAAAGGCAACAGTCCCAGATCTCAACCCAGAAGAATACTGTCGTTTTCAAAAAGTATTTCAGTTCTTAAATGGTAGGACAGACACAGGGAGTCTTATTTCCAGTAAACAGCTGAATAGTTAAAAAGTTATTAACTTGATCAAATATGGTGTCAGTCAAATACTTTTAGCCATTTTCCTGCTTGTAGCTACAGTAACCCCTTTAGTTCTCATGTTGGGGAGTCTTATGCATTTCTCTGTGTGAACCTACCTTAAGTAGATCAGTGTAACAATACTACAACAGTCACTGCAAACTATTTTAAATCAACAAAAATAGAGATCATAACTTACGACCAATGCTGGTAAACAAACCCTTTTATACAAAACAACATCCCCAAACAAAGACAACCATGTAACAATGGTTTCCTCCTAAGCCAACGTCACACTTGGTAACAGGTACAGAGCTTGAACAGGTGTTAGCCAGGTGAGAAAGGAGGCTATGTACAGGTGGAAGAGTCAGCATCATTAGGGCACTGCTAGGGTTTGGCATAAGATAGGTAGAGGGTCTGAGTCCACACATACACCTTTATTACCAAGTTTACGAAACACCCTTTAGCAGACTGGTGGGTTGAGTAGTATCATAACACTACAGCTAGGTAGGTTTTCTAGGCAATAGTCAGTTGGCAATGCAGCCAGGCTCACATGCTAGGCTAGCTATAGGGTTGAGCCAGCACGTTTCCAGTTGTAGCAGGATTGATTACCAGTACAGAGTTGTGCATCTAACTCTTTATCGTGTTTGTAATGGTAGAATAGACAGGATAATTTTTTTTATAATACAAATAAAAGAGAGCGAGGACCTTATTGGTAGAGCACAAACATACAGAACATACCCTGTGGTAGCGAGCTAAGAGCTTTGATAGGTTGGGGGTTGTGTCCATTATATGTATTGCCCAATGGGGTTTAGGTTTGGGTATAGGAGAAGTTGGTGCTATTGGGGGAGAGGGCTGGGAAGGGGCGGGACTGGTCTAACCCTCCCGGGCACTGATGCGTGGCTCGGCCAATGAGCTGTGGATGATGCTGCTGATAGACTCCACCCCCTCTCCTTCCAGGAAGCTGCGGTGGTCACCCTCGATGACGTGGACTGACACCTTACCATCACACACCTGAAGAGAAACAAAGCCTGTTATTATAGTAGTGTGTGTGCGTGCTGTGAAATTAAATTAAACAATAATGTATGTTGATGCTAATCTTATACTAATGCTAACAATAGCCTAATATATTTAATATGCTGTAAATTATTGTCTTATCAGTTTCACTCAATTCATTCTAATCAACCTAAAAATTATGACACACCCCTCACTATTGTCTTTGGTTGCACTAATTGCACTGTTTTGTCTACATAACCTGGTTCAAGCATTCATGACATTACCCTGAAGAAGGCACAGTGATGCTGAAACGTTGGTGGTTTACCCAATAAATTACTGGGTGTTTATACATGGAGTGTGCGACTCTTTGTTTTTATAGTTTACAGTTTATTCCCCGTTAGTCAGCACCTCAACACTAAATCATTTTGGGTGTGCGCCAGCTCATGCTTTTTAATGGACTGACGCCTTACCATCACACACCTGAAGAGAAACAAAGCCTGTTATTATAGTAGTGTGTGTGCATGCGCATGTTCATGCGTGTTTGTGTATATCCACCTCGCTAAGTTTGTAGTCAGCCCCCAGGTTGTCTCCGTAGTCGCTGCTGGCCTTGGCTCGGAGCAGGGTGACGTTGCCGTGGTATTTGGTTGCCGGGACGTAACCGTCGGCAGCCTTGAGTTTGTAGTAGAAGGTGGCGGCAGCGAATCGCAGGGAGTCTTTACTGACGTTCTTATGGCTGGAGGTGATGAGGTCCACCGCCATGTTGACACGGGCCTTCAGATCAGACAGAGGGAGGAGGGTCTCCAACAACTAGAGAGAGATAGAGCGAGGAGAGGGTGAAAGAGAAAGAGAGTGGAGGGGTAAAAGAGGCAGAACAAGAAATGTGAGTATTATACATTGAACCAGACTCAAGTATAATGTTAGTTTAATGTTATCCCATAGCCAGTGAGTACAGTATGTAATTATCTGCTGTTGTAAAGTGTTGTACCTTGTTGTACTCGATGCCAGTGAACTGCTGGATGAAAGCACACAGGGCTTCAGTCTCTGCCTCAGACTCTTTACCAGGGGTCAGCTTGGATTTGTAGCTCTGAAAGGCAAATAGAATACAAACATTAGGTTAACTCTACACATAACACTACGGTTAATTATGAGTTGAATGACTCTTTTGAAGTAGAGTTCAATGTGAAGGAACTGAGTACGAGGATGTGTGTATGTGTCAGAGTACATGTGCATACCTGCATAATCTCTCATCTGTATGTGGGTGTCAGTATGTACAGACACGCGTATCACCGGTGTCTGTGTGTGTATCAATATGCCTGCATAAGCTCTCACCTGTGTGTAAGCGGCGACGTAGGAGTGTGATCCGTCAAAGAGGAAGAGGTAATCTACGGTTCTACCCTGGGCCTGCAGCTGAGAACACATCTCAAACGCCACGCAGGCCCCAAAGGAGTAGCCGGCAATCCGGTACGGACCCTCTGATTGCACCTACACAAATAAAACATAAGCACAGAGACAGTTATTTATAAATCACTGTAATTATCTATCATGTATGTAAATATATAAATACAAATTAAGTTGATGTTAGTATCTTTTTTACCTGACGTATACACTCCACATAGTATGTAGCCAGAGACTGTATACTGTCCAAAGGAGCAGCTAGAGCGATGGGGGGAGGGAGAGACAGTGTCAGTCATTAAGATAACGTTTTTAACTTGAGAGAGAGAGAGTGTGGGACTGTATCAGTATGATTGTGAGAGGAGGGAGTTTGTTCCTGTGTGTATTGGTTCCTGTGTGTATTGGTTCCTGTGTGTATTGGTTCCTGTGTGTGTACCTTTAGTGCACTGCAGGCCGTAGCAGGGCACACTGAGCTTGGCGGTGAGTGTGTGGAAGGCAGCGATGGAGCCCTCTATAGGGTGGACCAGGAACAGCGGGCGCTCAGCACTCTGCACCTCGTTGAGACGGGAGACCGTGGGTCCGTCTGGGTTGACCAGCATCAAACTGAGGTCTGACTCCAACAGAGAATGCACTCCTCCCTTCTTCACTGGAGACTGATGGGACTCTGGAGAGAGGGAGGGAAAGAAAAAGAAAGGGGGGAGAGCGAGAGTACACATAAGTTCATGACACACACACAAGCTTCCTAACTATACAAAGTCATTCTTGCTTACAGTGTTTATGTACACACACACACACACACACACACACACACCTGCCATTCCCGCCGGTTGGCTGGCCAGCTCTCGGAGCTTGTTGATGGTGAGCTGTCGGATCTCCCTCATTGCCATGACAATGTCATAATCGCGCTCCAGTGTCTGACGCACCTCCACGCCCATCAGAGAGTCCAGACCCAGATCAGCCAATGAGGCGTCAGCGTTTAGACTGCTGACATCACGCACACCTGAAAAGGTTAGATGGGACAGGGGAGAATGAGAGGGAGAAATAATCAGGGAGTTACACATGGAATGAAAACACCCAAACCAGCTTCAAATCTATTGATCTAAACACAACACCAGCCCACCCATCAGCTGTGATGGGGTAACTTCAGGAAAAATCTATAGCTGGTTACATGGTGATGGAGGTGTATGGGTGATGAGGGACATCTCTCTCTTTCTCTAGTCTTACCCAGTATGTGAGCCACAGCCTCCACTAGAGGGATATACTACAAAGCAGGATCTATGAGTTAGCCAGCAACCTTGGATAAACAACCAGAAAATAACTACTTATTTTCTGGTTCTTTAAGAAAGCTAAGCTGACTTACATACAAATGGGTTTTTGTTGTTGAGTCAATTAGACCATGCTCATTTCAAGCTCATCTGTCTAAAAACTAAAAAGTTATTTCAGAATATTTAGGCAAGTTAACTGGCTTACTCCTTGATCCTGCTTTGTAGTACACCCCTCAGGTCTCTGTCTAGGGTTTGTTATAGGGTTAGTTGTATGGAGGTGTATGGGTGATGAGGGGTCTTACCCAGTATATGAGCGACAGCCTCCACCAGGTCTCTCTGTCCTGTTCCTTCGCTCTTCACAACGCTCCTCTCTGCCAGCACGAAGCTTGACATCACCGGACGCCGCTCGCACAGGAAGCGGTCCAGCACCTCCAGACAGGAAGTGATGCGCTGCGGGAGAGTCCCGCCCACCACCACGTCGTTACCGCCCATGGTCTCCAGGACAACGCCCACGTCGCCGATGGCGCCCCACTGGACAGCCAATCCGGGCAGGCCATCGTGGCGTCGCTGCTCGCACACGCGCTCCATGGCGGAATTGGCGTAACCGTAGTTACTCTGGCCGGCGTTGCCTCGGCCGCAGCTCACAGAGGAGAAGGCTACGAAGTAGCTAAGGTCTGGACACAGCTTTCTGGTCACCCTGAGAAAGAGGGAGAGAGAAAGGAAAACCTTTGACTACCTCACACTGCTTTTGGATTTTCTGTTCCTCCGAACATTGGTTATTGACAGATCCTTATATGGAAAGACTGGTAAATCTCAGCAGAACTACAGAAGTACCAGGAGGAGTGATCTCTAGGCTAACTGCCACGCCTGTGTGTGTTGTCTTACTTGTCCAGGTGGAGGGTGCCGTTGTATTTGGGTTTGTTGACATCCAGGAACAGCTGAGGAGTCAGATTCTCCAGCATGCCATCCTTCAACACCTGGTACAAACACAGACAGGAGAAAGAGACAGGTTAAGATGGGTGAGACAGGGACTGGTGAGAGAGACAGGTTAGAGAGGCACAAGTTCGAGAGAGCGAGAGAGACAGGTGAGACAGAGACAGGTGAGAGAGAGACAAGTGAGAGAGAGGGAGAGGCAGGTGAGAGAGAGAGGGAGAGGCAGGTGAGAGAGAGAGGGAGAGGCAGGTGAGAGAGAGCGAGAGAGGCAGGTGAGAGAGAGAGAGACAGGTGAGAGAGAGAGACAGGTGAGAGGGGGACAGTTGAAAACAAAAAGCTACAGTGTACAGGTAAGGGGGTGTTACCATGGCGAGGTGGAAGACTCCTCCCACAGGCCCCAGCCTGCAGGCCTCGTTGATGAGTCGCTCCGCCCCCTCCTGGGTGCTGACATCACTGGTGGACACCAGCACCTGCACACCCATCCCCTGCCACTCACGCACGCGCTTCGCCTGGTAACCTAGCAACGTGACCCGACAATAACAAAAGTGACTGGACTGTCACAAACAACAAGTGTGCAGCTAATGTAAGAACACAATGGCTTTGCTGGTGTGCTACAATCCAGCAAGTACAAGTAAAAGTTCTGAGTTCTTGTCGCTTACCGTTGCGGATGCCCGATCTGGAGGTGAGCACCAGTTTGCGGGCGCCTCTCTCCGTCAGCCAATGAGCGAGTTCCAAGCCGAAGCCGCCCAGTCCCCCGGTGATGATGTAAGAGTGGGAAGCGGGGCAGAAGGTACGGCAGATGGCGGGGAGGGAGAGGGGTGAGCCCACCGCCTGAGTACCACTACCCTTCTCCTCTGAACGCACCTAGAGAGAGAGAGAGACATTTACATTTGAGTAATTTAGCAGACAATTAGAAGTTAAGTACCTTGCCTAGATTTGCCTAGATTTTTCAAGTAGTCGGCTCAGGGATTCAAACCAGCAAGCTTTCAGTTACTGGCCCAACGCTCTTAACCGCTAGGCTACCTGCCACCACGTCAGACCCAACACACAGAGTGGATTGTAATAAACCGTCATGTATCAAGAGTATAATACGTGGTAATAACAGTGTTATAATAATGTAATAACAGGTCAATGTAATAAAAGGTCTGTATGTATAGTGTTAAAGAAAAAGGGAGAAAAGGTCGAGAAAATGTGATGGACCGGTCTAAAAGAAAGAGTTGAGGAGACAGTAAAAGCTGTGGTTTTGTGAGGGAGAAAAAGAAAGAGTGAATGAATAAGGAAGAGGGGGAGTTGTTGAGTAACTGACCTGTAGCAGGACTTTGCCGATGTGTTTTCCCTGGGCCATGTATCTGAAAGCATCCTCCACCTGGTCTCTCTCAAACACCGTAGTCCTCAGGGGTTTGACTACACCTCCCACAATGCCCTCCTTCAGCAGCTGGGACACCTCCTCCCACTCCCTGTTCCCCTCCTCAAACAGGGCGTCCAATAGGATCCCGTGGAAAGCCACGTTCTTCAGGAAGAGAGCCATACCTGAGGGAAACAGGGACTCATGTCAGACATTAGAACAGCTGCAGTGGCACAGTGAGTCGGGCACAAAATGGCTGCAATGGAGAGCAGTTGCAGTGCTGTGTACTGACCCAGAGGGGAGTTGTTGGACAGGTCGTATTTGCCGATCTCCAGGAAGCGTCCATGTCGGGCCAGACAGCGAAGACTGGCCTGCAGCTTCTCCTCAGCCAGGGAGTTCAACACCATATCCACTCCTACAGACACAGGATGCACAAGAACATGTTTAATTGAGAGAGAGAGTTGAGTGGTATCATGTTGAGTGTGTATAGTTGACGTGTTTCGTGTGTTTGAGTGAGGCAAGTTTGGATAGGAGCTGATATTTAAAGTTTGTGTGCGTCTGACCTTTTCCTTGTGTGTGTAGCAGGACGTGCTGTTCGAAGGTGGCGTCTCTAGAGTTGGCGAAGGACTCAGAGGTGAGCTGAGGGAAACGCTCCTGTAGGTAGGCACGCTTCTCTACTGAACCTGAGACAAAGAACACAAACACGGGTTACAGAGAGACATCTACGGCTAAATGCACTGACAATTCTGACATTAACAGGCAGAGTGTGTGTTTGTGTACATACAGGATTCTGCTACTCACCAACAGTAGTGAAGACCCTACAGCGCTGGCTGAGTGCGATGGCGATGGCAGCCTGGCCGACGCCCCCTGACCCTGAGTGGATGAGAACACTCTCCCCTGGGCGGAGCCTGCCTCGGACCACCAGGGAATAGTAGGCTGTGGCGTAGACCACCGGCACCGACGCTGCCTGCTCCAGCGTCCTAGAGAGGGAGGGAAAGAACTTAAGTTCCTTAAAACAATAACTAAGTCATAAGGCTAGACATCAACATAGGGGAATACTATAAAGCATGATCAATGAGTTAGCCAGCTAACTTAGACATATTTTGAAATAACTTTACATTTTTTTAGTAGGATACGCTTGAAATGGGCATGGTCTAATCGACTCAACAACCAAACAGACATATCTAAGTTTAGCTTTAGTAATGAATCTGAAAATCTGTAGTTATTTCTGGTTGTTTATAAAAGTTAGCTGGCTAACTCATTGATCCTGGTTTGTAGTATACCCCTCAGTGGACAGGTAGTCTGTTAGTCAAGACCCCAAAACATTGTCTCCCTACGAGGTCGTTTGTGGCTCTGGGCCCATATTCACAAAGTATAGGAATGCTGATCTAGGATAATAATAATAATAATAATAAGCCATTACAGACGCTTTTATCCAAAGCGACTTACAGTCATGCGTGCATACATTTTTACGTATGGGTGGTCCCGGGGATCGAACCCACTACCCTGGCGTTACAAGCGCCATGCTCTACCAATTGAGCTACAGGTCCCCCCTTCTAAAACTGATCGTAGACCAGCACTCCTACTCAAATGCACTACATAATGTAGGGAACAGGATGTGATTTGGGGTAGTCGCAGTGTTTTACCAGCCATCTGGGACGTCCCAGAGGAAGCGTGTGTCCGCGTCCACGCAGGTGGCCAGGCCTTTAGCAGGCAGCAGCCCCATCACACGCCGACCGCTGGGGTCACGACCCGAGAACTCCATACCCAGCATGCACTGCTGCAGGGCCAGGTCACCTACAGAGGGAAAGCAGGGGAATAAGATTGTGTGTGTGTGTGTGTAAAAGAGAGAGAGTGTGTGTGAGAGATAGGAAGAGTGTGTGTGTGTTCATTACTGGTATAGCTTCGGAGGCAGTTTCCTAGAGGAGATGTCTGTATGCATTTGTGTGTGTCTCTGTGTGTGTGCGCGCGTGTGTTCTTTACCTGGGATGGCGTCCGGTGGCAGTTTCCCGGTGGCCAGCATGATGTCTCTGAAGTTGAGGGAGCTGTAGTAGACGCGACACAGCTGCACGTGGGGGCTGCTCGCTACAAAATGGCGGAGGGGTGAGGCAATCCAACGCAGCGAGGAGAGGTCACCGCGGGTCAACACGTTAACGTACGCCTGCTCTGTCAACTCCTCACTCAGACCTGAGGAGAGAGCAAGAGCGAGAGAGGTATTAAGCTTTGTAGCATGATCAACAGAAGATTTGGAATCCATTATTGTCCAAGATCAAAGTCTTATCAGCCTAGGGCTAGTCTGTGACATTAGTGAAGCACTTTGTTTTCATTGCAATTATATCATCAAGCTCATATGCAATGACTGAGTGTTTGAAATTTCTCTCAAGGTATGTCATTGGGTGTAACTTCTGAGATCTTGCTAGAGCAAGAACAAGAGAGAGGGGAGATAGTGGTGTGGATTTCGTACCCTGAGAGATGAGCTGGTGTCTGAACACACCCCAGTGTCCATCACGAAACACGTTCATACACAGGTCTCCCTCCAGCACAGACCGCATGGAATTATGGGTAGGCTGCAGGGTGGGCGCCGCAGAAGACTCACACATGTTGGACACAAATGCACACCTGGAGAGAGAGCGTAAAGATGAGGAGAGAGAAATACAGCATTAGTCTGTGATTCACTGCACTGTATGATTCACAGCCTATCCGAGAGCAAGATGGAGCTTTTACCTTTATAATATATATAACTCTGTACTTTTAAGACGTACATACTGCTAATACCAATCCAATCCTTTCAGATCAGTGTCTATGGGAAGAGGCAAGGTTTATTTTAAGACCAGGCTATAGTCTCACCGTATGCGGCTGCCCCCAGGCTCCTGGCGTAGACAGTTGACCATGCCCACCACCCCAGAGTGGCCCTGGGTAGCAGTCAGCCAGACCGGAGAGTCTGAGGGCTCAGCCAGCGTCTCCTGGGGGGGAGCGACATAGAGTTATAAAGGCTTATAAGCACTTAAGGAGTTATTAACACAGAGACACACAGATGTTTCCCTCACCTTGAGTGTGTCCACCCACTGGTAGTCCATGCTGTCCACAGGCAAGAAGATGGGCAGTTTGCTGGGTAACCGACGGCAACACAGGAATAGGGCTGAGCCATAAAATGACTTCCTGACAGCCACCAAGTTGAGAGACGCATCAGAGAAGACTTTCTCCCAGTCAGCCTAGAGAAGAGAACAATTACAGGATTAGACATCATATAATAGGTAATCACTGAGAAAACTGTCACAAATGAGACTATATGTATGACCAGTTTATGTATCCTCACTCACTCACTAAATACTGACTGATGCTAATAGAGTAATGTGTGGTCCTGCTTTAATATCTGAAGGGTAGCTGGGGGCTATGGATTGATCTGGGTATCAGTTTTCGACTGCAGTGTAACTGACCTGGGAGAGCAGTCCCTGCTGGTTGTTCTGACTGTCCTTGTAGGTGAGGAAGGCCACCATCTCCCCCAGCGTCTCTCCCTTCAGCAGGGTGTGGAGCATCACAAAGCCCCCCTCCTTGGCCCCCGAGGCCAGGTTCCCCACCACCACCTCAGCCCCAGCCCCCAGGGGACCCCAGGTGTGGTTACACACCACCAGGTCGGCCCCACCGACCGCTCCCCCAGGCACAGGGCCCTGCTGGGGGTCCCACTGGGCTGAGGTGACCCCCAGCGCATCCAGGGTGGTCTGGTGGGGGGTCAGGAGGTCGAGGGTCGTAGCCGTGGCGACGTAGTCAAGGCGGAGCATGGGCTGGATGTTAAGGAGGGGCACGGCACGGGAGAAGAGATGGCCGTCGCTGGAGAGGGCCTAAGGTGGGGCGAGACAGAGCAGGGGTTAGAGAGGAAGGCGAGTGAGAGAGCGCTCGTGACCACTGCTGTATCACGTCTTTGTTCTCACCTCCAGGACTTTGATCTTCCCGGGGGTAGTGTTCTCCAGGGCTGTGTCCAAACAGTGTCTGAGGGCTGGGCCGTCCAGTAAGCCATGTAGCAAGGGGTCCTGGAGGAGACAACCCCTCTCCTTCTCAACAGTCTGCTCCAGCTCTGACCGCAGGTTACCGTTCAGCTCCAGACCACACAGAAGGGACAGCAGCCGCAGCAAGCCAGGCTCAGCGGGCTCAGGGCTGGGGACAGTAGGGTCAGACACCCCCTCTAGACCAGGGATGGAGAGCTTGACGCCCTGAGGAGCCAGCTTCTTCTGCAGCTTGTGGATCAGACCTGGAGAGATGCATGAACCAAGGGTCAGACACAGAGGGTAATCAATTTAGTACTATGGCCTTTTTAGACTAACAAAATGTGAAGTATGATCTGCCTTTCTTCGACATCAGATTTGCAACTTTTCGGTTGACATTATGTTACGTTGTGTGTACGTATTTTTTTTTTTATGTGTTGAAAAATGTTAACTGTGATTTTAAACACTGAATCTGAAAGCAAAATGACTTTCCACTGTTTGGATGATAAAGGTAGCCAACTGAAACATGAACTCTAACCTTTGCAGTTCTTGAGCTGGTCTACCATCTTCTCATTGGCTGACAGGCATTCTGTCTCTAGGTAGGGCACAAACAAAAACTCCTCCAGGGTGGGCGGGCTCTGTTGTTGTTGGCGACGCGGTGCTACCGTGGCGTGGAGACCACAGATCTGAATTCCGCCCGCCATGATGTTGTCAAGGCAACGGTTGACATGGACGTCCACGGCTAGGTGATGGAGAGAAGGTAGAAAAACAGTCAAAGAAAAACAATCGGCATCCTTAATATTGTGTCAAGTGTGTGTGTTTGTGGTGGGCCTGTGTACATGTTTTATTTCAATACCTTTCTTTCCCTCTGCGTATTCAGTGACCCTCTCCTGGTGGATGGTGGGGTCGACACACACAGAGCGGATCCGCGTTGGCAGTCGAAGGCTGCGTCCTGATAGGCCAACCACGATCATCTGCAGCATGGTGTCCAGGAAGGTCACCCAGTTACCGGTCCACTGCAGCTTCCCACTGTCACCTACAGCCAGAGACAGGGATAGAGCAGGGTCAGTGGGAAACCAGTCAACCAATGACTGAGGAAAATAACTTCTAGTACAATCTACAACAAACTAGCCACCTTAGTTGCCAACCAGTAGTAAGTACACTATTTCATAAAGGAGGTTCACAAGGTCTTAACTTTTTCTCAGACACACACACACCTGCATTGTTGGACTCCAGGATGCCCTGGAAGGTCTTGCCGTAGTCATAACCGCGGAGACGGAGCTCCTTGTAGATGTCATGGGCCATCAGGCGCAGTTTGGGGTCACCGTCGTCCCCGGCGACAGGCTTACCAATCTCAGAGCGGAATGAGTCCAGAGCAGCATCCTCCAGAATGCTCACCTTGCCTGCACAGACAGAGAAAAGCATGGGATAGGTGAGAGACTGTGTGGAGGACCAAGGAGAAAGCATGTATGTAGAGTTTATAGTGTGTATTACTAAGTCATAGGCCTTGAATGGGTGTATACACTAGTTGTTATTATGTAACAGATTGAATGAGTCTATATACACTAGCTATTACCATGTAACAGAGCATGTAAATCCTGCTTTACATATCAAACATTTATCTTGGATGCTTATAGGAGAGTATAAAGTATACGTACCACTGACAGCCAGGTTGCCGTTCTCAGAGACCTCAAACCGACTGGTGGCGGGCATGAGACGCACCTCCAACTGGACTGAACCTGATAGAGAGAAGAGGGGAAGGAGTAAGAGAGAAAAGAAAGGGAGAGAGAGAGACAAAGCACATTGAAGAAAGGTCAGAAATGAACCACAGCAAAATATTTACAACCCAAACAGACAACCCATGATGTGACAAGATTGTGACTGACAACCCATGATCAAATTCTTCCCCTCCCTTCTTCGTCCGTCCCTCCCTCACCGGTCTTGGGTAAGATGGTGGCCCTGTGGATGGTGACATCCTCAAAGGTGACAGGGGTGGTTTCCATGACAACACCCAAGCTCCTCATCAGGGTCCTCCAGGCCAGCACCAGGTAACCCGTCGCCGGGTACAGGACACGCCCGTCGATGCAGTGGCCAATCATATAGTAGTCTGGAGACTCTGGGTTCATGTCTGGGGGGAGAGGAGATCAAATATGTTATTGTCTCTGTGTGTGTGTGTGTGTGTGTGTGTGTGTGTGTGTGTACAAGTTTGTGTGAATGTGTATTCTGTATACTGTATTGGTGTATGTATGTCTCTCACCAATGTTATAAATGGTAGCTGAGGTGGACCCTCCAGAACCAGCAGGGAAGTCCTCAGCCTTGGGTACGTCCCAGGTCTGGGCGTGGTCCCACTGCACCAGGGGGGAGATCAGAGGGGTGCCCACGGGCACCGGGTACTCCACACGCGGGTACAGCTGCTTACTGTCCACATTGATCCTGGACACAAATGAGAGATGCTTGCTATTGAGACATCTGACCCAAATATAGCTTTTCTAGGACTCAAAACTAAACATTTTACATGCATGTTTAGCTTGTACTAGGGGCTAACAGAGTTGGCAAACGAATGGCAAAGCTAGGTCGGAAGGCCATCTTGCAGTATTGGGAAAATAATATGCACAACAACACCAGTTAAAGCTGTGTGTTTAAACTAAAGTAGGTTTTGAGAATAGAACAGCATCAGTTGCGTGTCATGTCAGTAGCAGGTACTGACCCGTTCATGTAGACCTTGCCAATGTGCGAGAGGAAGAACTCCAGGTTGTTGGCATGACCTCTCCTCATCAGGGGCAGGATGGAACACGTTGGCTTCAGGCTGCGCTTCAGGATCGCCTGCAGAGGGAGACAGACAGCAAGGTTTCACACAGAGACTAATGAGGACAAGTACACTGCATTTTTGTCAGAGGTTGGTGTGTGTGAAAATTGTCACATTGTGACACTGTGTGTTTGTGTATTCGCAGCAGTAGTGAATGAGTGGAGCCATCTCCTCCTGTGTGTGTGTGTTTCTAGAGCTTCTAAACTAACCTGCAGCAGAGCGTGTGGCGCTATCTCCACCACCACAGCGTTATCAGGCACCAGGCTCAGGCCCTCTTGGAAGAGGACAGGACTGACCAGGTTATTACAATGGTACTCTGCTGAGGAGTACAGAGCCAGCGTGCTGTCCCAGTCCTTCTGGGGGATAGATGTACTGATCCACCTGGCAGACCTCTGCTTAGGCTCCTTGATCACCTACAAAGGGGGAGGAGAGCGAGAGGAGATGGGGATTTGGTATATTTGGCAGATGACCTGAAATTCAATTCACAGGCAGGTGGAAAGCAGTCTGTTTTTCTCTAGTGTATGAGGATTTTTCAATTCATGCACTTAGTTTCAATTGCCCTCGTGAAAAAATTGAAAAGTTTTTAAAGTGTTAGGTTTTGGACTGAGCCACACAGTCATAAACGTTGCCTTACCCTCTTGAGAGCGGCCAAGCAGGGCGGGAGCGATGGAGGCCATGTAGTAAGAATGGAAGGCTACACCAGCACTACGAACCTCCTTGGCAAACACACCACTCTCCTTCAGCTCTGCTACAAACTTACTCACTGCCTCCTGCATACAGAAAAGAAGTGCACCGTGTCAGTTTCAGGCTCATGGTTTTTTACAGGATAAAATGTAGTTTACAGACAGAATTGGTCTCAATAGTATAGTATAAAAAGGGTCTTTAAAATAATGCATAAAGCTATTGATAGATACAATTGCAAGGATTTGGACCAAAATGTGTTACCGCAGGGCCAGAGATGGTGACGGTGTCTTCAGCGTTGTGACAGGCTGGAACCACACCCTGAGGACACTGAGCCTTACACTCTGCCCATGTCAGCCCTGAGAAGGGGGAGGGGGGGGGTGAGAGGTTGAGAAATAAAGTGGATCACTGAGTACAAATCAAATAAAAGTGTATTGGTTGATACACAGATTTGCAATGTCATCGCAGGTGCAGCAAAATGCTTGAGTTTCTAGCTCCAACAGTGCAGCAATACCTAGCAATAAAAAATTTAAAAAAACTATACACAGATAATCCAGATATATATATTTTTTTTATTATATAGGCTGAGCCATGACTAGAATACAGTATATACATATAAAGTGGGTGAAACAGTATATAAACATTATTAAAGTAACCAGTGTTCAATGGCTGTATATACATAGGGCAGCAGTCTCTAAGGTGCAGTGTAGAGTACCGGGTGGTAGCCGGCAATTCAAAATCAACACACACACAGACACTCTGTTTTTGGTCCTTACCGACTGCAGCCATGCCCCCGGGGGGCAGGTTAGCCTCCTTGATGGATCTCCCTCTCCAGTAGGCTGCCAGGATAGCCTCACTGTGACTGAGGGATCCGTCTGCGTAGCCACAGGCCAGCTCTCCCACACTGTGGCCCACAATGCCGTCCGGCTGCAGACCCAGCTTCTGGAGCAGGTCAATCTGGGCGATCTGAGAGGGGGACAGACAGACAGCGGTTAGCTTTACGAGCATACTACAATAATATAAATATAATATATGCCTTTTAGCACACGCTTTTATCCAAAGCGACTTAGTCACACGTGCATACATTTTACGTATGGGTGGCCCCAGGAATCAAACCCACAATCCTGGCGTTGCTAGCGCCATGGTCTACCAACTGAGCCATACAGGACCATCTTAATAATAATAATAATAATAAGCCATTTAGCAGACGCTTTTATCCAAAGCGACTTACAGTCATGCATGCATATTTTTAATGGTCATCTTCATGATTGCCTTCGATATGTCAGAGGCATTGTGTGCTCTTTGTCTGCGCAAACAATGGACAATACAGTCCTATTTCCATAGCCTTTTGGTTTCAGTGCCATTCCCCACCCACTCTTAGTTAAAATGGTGTCCCGCTCTCTGTAAAAATTGTGATTTGCCCTTAGTTAAGATGGCTGCTCCACTGTACCTGTATGGCAGCAAGGCCTACGAAGGCTTGGACGGTGTCCTCGAAGGTGCTCTCATCGGCCTCCATGAGCAGACTGGACACACACATCCCTGTGTCCCTCAATGCCATGTCCGAACGCAAGATGGACTCCCTGAACTCTGGCAGCTGCATCAGACTGCGGCCCATCCCACCCCATTGGGTGCCCATACCTGAGAGATACACACAAGTGTTAACACACACCTTTCTCTTAAACCTCTGCTTTCATCATTCGAGGTAGAAGTTGCCCTTAACCACAGATCCTGGATCACATTAACCTGCCCCCAATCCTAACACTAACCATTAGGCTGAGGATTTAAGAAACTCTGTATCTGACCCTGGTGCAACTTCTTCACTTCTCTCCTAACCCATCCTCTCACTTACCTGAGCAGATGTACCACAGCGGTCTGGGTGTGGCTTCAGTCTTCTGCACCTCTGTGACATCATCCTTGGAGCCAATCAGAGCGTAGCCCCTGTAGGGCATCCCCGCCGTGGGCACCCCGGACACCTCGTTCAGCAGACACAGGAAGTTGTCATCGCCTGAGTGTTCCTTCCCCTTCCTGAGGAGGACGGAGACAGCGTCCTCTGTGCGCCCACAGGCCTGAAGGAGCCTGGGTACTTGAGAGGACTCAGAGGGGGTCTTGGGGGGCGCTTTGAAGGTTTTTGGCATGTTGAAACCAGGGGGGCGGAGGATCACGTGAACGTTAGAGCCGCCAAATCCGAAGGAGTTGATGCCAACGATGCCACCGCGGACTGGTATGGGCTCATTGACGACGCGGAGGCGGCCGTCACTAAGGGCAGGGATGTCTGTGTTGGGGCTGTTGTAGTGGATGTTGGGAGCCCACACACCCCGCTCCAGAGATAACACAACCTGGGAAAAAAGAAAGAAAGAAAGAAAGAAAGAAAGAAAGGAGAGCGGTGTGTTAGTGCTGGGCTTCGCCAAAAGCTTGCACATATTGGGACTTTGTACAGGACAAAAAGGTGTTCTAGAGGTTAGCCCAGACCATTCCAGTTCTTACTTTGGCCAGCGCAGCCAGGCCAGAGGCAGGCTCTGGGTGGCCCATGTTGGACTTGGTGGAGCCAATGAGCAGTGGGTCACGCTTTGAATGACAGAACACACTGACAATGCCATTCACTTCCTGCGGGTCGCCGACCTGGAAGGAGAAAGGACTGAGGTCACCAGGGGAAACATATACTGAGGAACCAGCTGTATCAGGGGGAGGAATGTGACAGAACACCTTCCACAGAACATTCTGGAACATTACGTTATTGGGTGTGGTGGTGATATGATCCAACAATAATGAATCAAGTGTGGTAGAGAGAGAGTGTGTGTGTGTGTTCACCTTGGTCCCGGTGCCATGGGCCTCGATGTACTCCACCTGGTCAGGTGTGATGTTGACCTCCTGGTAGAGAGAACGTACCAGCCGCTGCTGCATCTCACCTGAGGGGAATGTCACACCTGGGAAGAACACACCAATCAATACATCACTGAATTTAAACAATTATTTTGTAGCCATTCATAGAGGACTTTTATGTAATCTTGTATAACAAATGTCACCGACGTGCAGTACCATGAGTGGCTAAGAGCGGTGAAGGGTAAGGTTCCCCCTGGACGCTGATCTCGGGTCAGTTTAGCATTTTCTGCACTAATGGTAAAGGCTAGGATTGATGGAGGGGAAGCTGATCCTAGATCTGTACCTAGGGAAATGTCACCCTAGAGTGGCTAAGAGCAATGTCACTGTTTACGGGGCCATTAGCACATGGTGCCCTGGTACCTTAGTCATCCAAGAGAGTTGTCCACTTCAAATGTACTGATAAATACATCAGGCTGGTATGCTGTGACTGGATCACCAGTCTGGGAGTGTGTTTATTGTTGTGTGTGACAGAAAGACAGACAAACTTGCTAGAGCAGAGGGAGGGGGGCATGGGACCATGGGGGTGAAATGTGGTATAGAACATCCTAAAACACTGCTAGCTGTGTGTGTTCCAGTGTTACACTCCAGAGAATGCGTCCCCCTCTTCAGCAAGGTCGTATATCAACACAGGGCTGCAGCGCTAAGTGTGTGAGGAGTGATTGGGGGAAAGGTTACTGTGTGTGTGTGTGTCGATTATATCACATTAATAGGTCTATATTTCAAAAAAAGTTGGAGCTGCCAATGCCCGGGTATTAGCTAGATTACACCACAAACACAGATTACAGGGGAGCTACACTGGGGCGTCAGGAAAACAGTATGTTTTTAGCTGTTACACTGGACTTTTTGCCAGCGTGAGCAGAGACACTAATTTATCAAGTGTTCTCGGGCATGAGTCACGCATCAAATTCTTGAAAATAGAACCATAGTGTAATTTTACGCTGAGTAACGCAAGCCTCTCGTGGATCCATGCTGCTTATGCCCAGGTTTCATTTAAATTAATAGGAGCGTCTCACACTCTAAAAAAGTTAAGTGTCTTGTGTAGCAGGACTTAAAAAGTGGTGTTATTTCTCCAAGAGGTGTGTCATAGTGGGTCAGTGAGGCCTCACAACCTATTGGGCAATAGGCCAAAATACATTATGGGAAATGCAACTGAATGGCCAAGGGAATTGTTTCTCCACGAAAATAAAGTTTCTACTGGGTTACTGCTTGGCATTTACAGTACAGGACACATAGGTAAGCCAGGCCACACGCTGGTGTGAGAAATATAGTGGAAACCGTATGTAACCTACCAGAGGATTAGGCAGAAATATAACCATGTTACTTACAATCATCAAATCCTTATAGATCTGGGAGAAATGTTAAGGGGTAGGGGCTAGAGATGTATATCAGACCAGGAAACCATCCTAGGTTTGGGAGGTCTGCCTCTCAGTGCCTTGGGGATAGAGGCCTAGGGTTTCATTCCAGACACGGCAGGTACCCTCAGTGGTGTAATATAATGGGGTGTAGTCTCACCCTGCTCCTTGTATCCGTCAGTGTTGTTACCAGCGTTGAGTACTGTGGCATACACCCTCTTAGCCATGGAACGTCTGGTCAAAAATACAGCCACCGCAGCCTCCGAACGGCAGTACCCGTTTCCTGGGGGAACACAGAGAGGAGCGCACCAGGAAGTAACGTTAGTGTGCTTTCAGGGTCAGACCAGGAAATAGTGCTGCTGTATGTGGGTGTGCTTTCAGCATGAGAAGCATTTTGTCTACAACATTTAGTTCTGTACATTGCGATTTTCTGAACACGACCCAGGTCTCTCCTTCTCTTACCTGAGGAGTCAAAGGACTTGCAGGTTCCTTCCGGACTGAGCATGCCCAGCTTCATGAACTGCACAGAGGTGTTTGGCTTGAGCAGCAGGTTGACCCCGCCCACCAGGGCGGCGTCACAGTGGCCGTGGCGAATGGCGTTGAAGGCATTCTCCAGAGCCAATAGGCTGGAGGAGCAGGCGGTGTCGATGGCTGTGCTGGGGCCTGGAGGGACAGAGAGATGGCAAGAAAAGAGAAGGGCGGGAGAATGTTGAGTTAGGGATTGATTATCTTTTTTAAGACAATTGATACCATGTGACAAAACTGCTTGAGAGAACCCACAGCTGTGCTAGATGAGATCATACCGTTGAAGTCAAAGAAGTAGGAGAGTCGGTTGGCGAACATGGCACGCTGGCAGCCCGTCATGCTGTATCCTAGCAACTCCTCAGGGTCTCTGCTGAAGGCCTCGCCCGCCTCCGAGCCGCTCACCCCGATGTAGACGCCTGTCCTGCTGCCACGCAGCTCCGTCGGATTCAGACCTGTACACACACATTACATAAATGAATCTCACACACAGGTCTATGAACGTTAAAACATGAACTTTGTGACATGTGGGTAATCTAATCTAATGTGTGGATGACAAGAAGAGTAGCGGTTGTGATAGTAACAGCTAATGGGGATCCAAATAAACAAATACATTTTACTTGGTATCTTTACACAGTTCTCCAAATAAAATGTATCTATACACATCTACTCATCCATCCATCTCTCATCACCCCTCTCCTCACCTCCGTCTACAATGGCTTCGTAGGCGATCTCCAGCATGAGGCGTAGCTGGGGGTCCATGGTGTGGGCCTGTTTGGGGTGGACCCCGAAGAACGCAGCATCGAACCGGCTGATGTCCTTCAGCTTGCCGTTCCTCTTGGGAAGACCGTACAGACCTGGGAAAGGGAATGACACGTGGAGCATTGAGGGATAAATAACCGGATCACTGGGTTTCCCAGACAGCATGTGTTTTACCTGTAGTCACTGACTGGATAACCTGAACAATTCCCCCAGATGAATGTGACATGAATGTTATAGTAAATGTATTAATGTAATAGTTTTACACACAGATCTAAAGCAGTACTATTCCTCCCTCTTAGTATTTCTATGCAGACTGCAAACAAGGCCCTTTCCTCTCCTCTCTTCTTTTCTCCACTCCTTTTTCTCTCCTCCCTCCCTCTGTCCCTGCTTTTTCCTCTCCTGTGGTGTGTGATCTTAGGGGCGCCGCTCGCCCGGGGCCTTTTAGCACATGAATGCGAGCTTTAGCTGGTTGCCAGGCACTGACTGATGAGAGGTGCTATTCACACAGAGACGAAAGCGAGGAGAGAGAGAGAAAAACCAAGCAAACGAGGGAGGAAGAGAGAGAGAGAGAGAGAGAGAGAGAGAGAGAGAGAGAGAGAGAGAGAGAGAGAGCTAGGAAGGTGAGACAGGGCTAAAAAGAAAAAGATGGGGAGAAAGGCAGAAAAAGAAAGAGGAAAGAAAGAGGAAGACACAGAGCAAGAAACAAAATAGGGAGTGAATTAGGCAGAGCCAGAACGAGTACGAGTACGGTTCATGTGGTTTACTTCATGTGGGTAGTGACCAATGATGTGTATAACATCTGGATTGCCATTGAGAGGCTTTGAAGCCACCGGTCAGCCATATTGGTAGGAGCAGTCCCCTATAGGAATTAATGGAATTCTACAGTATTTCAAATAAATGTTTCAAGGACTAAATTAAATGTATTTAAGTATGTTTTTGTTGTAGTGGGGACAATAACATTAGTTATCCAAAATAAACTACACTTTAAAACGTTTATCTTTTTATTTTTTATGTTTAGCTCACATAATAAAAAATTATACACAGAGTATAGAAAATATTAAGAACACCTGCTCTTTCCATGACATAGACTGACAAGATGAATCCAGGTGAAAGCTATGATCCCTTATTGATTTAACTTGTTAAATTCACTTCAATCAGTGTAGATGAAGGGGAGGTGACAGGTTAAAGAAGGATTTCTAAGCCTTGAGACATGGATTGTGTATGTGTGCTATTCAGAGGGTGAATGGGTCAGACAAAATATTGAAGTGCCTTTGAACAGGGTATGGTAGTAGGTGCCAGGCGCACCGGTTCGTGTCAAGAACTGCAACACTGCTGGGTTTTTCATGCTCAACAGTTTCCTGTGTGTATCAAGAATGGTCCACCACCAACAGGACTTCCTGCCAACTTGACAACTGTGGGAAGCATTGGATTCAACATGGGCCAGCATCCCTGTGGAACGCTTTCGACACCCTGTAGAGTCCATGCCCCAACAAATTGAGGCTGTTCTGAGGGCAAAAGGGGGGGGGGGAGGTGCAACTCAATATTAGGAAGGTGTTCCTAATGTTTGGTATAATCAGTGTACATTAAGGTGTCTGTAAAATAATACGTGGCAAAAATGAATGTAGACATTAATAAATGAATTTCTATAGCTTCCAAAATATTTTTTACAATGGTGGGGGTGCCAAGATGGCGGCACGGTGTCTTCAACACAGCGCCCCCTATCAACCATCTAGGTACATTATATATATATAAAAATCATTGGTAGTGACTGACTGAACGGGCCAGTAAAGACTGGAGGGCGCATTCAGCATTTTACTCATTAACCTGCCCATATTGATGGTGATGCAAAGCAAACTACAGCTAACCAGGTCTTTGGTCAGAATGTTCTTCTAGGGAAGGGAGGCATTTCCCGTCATTTCCTATCATGTGGTGGATGTAACATTCCATGACTAGGCAGTACACCCACCTCATTTATGGCAGATCTTCAAATGAAATATTGATTACAATGTGTGTTTGGGTTCAAATCTGCAACCCAATTTATGATACAATGAGCTACTCATCAGTTTACAGTGCAGATTACACTGTGATGCAAGGTAGCTTGTGTGTCAGTCTGAAATTTTCAAAGCTTTCAGAGTTCAAAGAATAAAATAAAAAAACAGCAAAAACATGTCTAATGTTTATGGGTCATAATCACATCCAGGTCATGGAAAGGTCACGGGGGCTCACCTGACTTCCACCTTCGGTCATCTTCTGTTACCATGTCAACCCCATTGAAGAGGTTTTCCCAGAATTCCTCGAGGTTGTTCGACTCAGGAAGCCGGCCCGATATCCCGGCTACAACAATCTCATCCATCCTGGGAATAAAGGGCTACTGTGGGAGGAGAGAAGAGAGGAGAAGAGCGAGAGATTGGGTTAGATGTAGGGTTGAGAAGATACCAGTATCGCGATACTCAGAAGCAGGGATTGACATAAAGGGTTGCCCTATTACCTGGGGCAAGTGAACTGAGCAGTCGCGGAAGTTGAGCATGTTCTGAGGTTTCCCAACTGGGCAGGTGATATATATATATTATTTATTTTTTTGTTAAACTACAAAGAATTCCAGTAGTCTAAAACTGATCTTTCTGGTTCCTCCCATTGTTTAAAGTGAAGGCTTTATGGCAGTCAGGCTAGTTGAGCCTGCTCTGAGAATGTATTTGACTGATAACAAAAATACAAAGAATTCCCGTGCTGATGTTTCTGAGTCCTCGCCTATGTGTAGGTGAAAGGCAGGCAATATATGGCACTTCTGCATGTAAAATAGCTAATTATCATTTTCGGGCAACCCAAAAAAAATACTCCTGACTTGCAAGTGCTTTTCAGACTTTAATGTCAATCCCTGCTCAGAAGTATCGTGGCAAGGAAACAAAACACGAGGCGGATTTCATTTATTGAGGAAAAAAGTCCTAATGTTGGAAACAAATATCATTTTGCGGTCACCCAGTCACATTTGTTTATTTTCCAAGCTATGGCACACAATATTTGACAAAAGGACCAAAAGGTTTGGTCTGCTTCGTGTTTTTGTTGTTGCCATGGAAAAATCGGGTATAGGCTACTGGTACTTCACAATCCTAGTTAGAGGGTAATTTAGTTTAACCTTCATTTATCCACATTACTGTAGTTTCATTGACACACAATATCTTAAACAATAACTGGTGCACAATGGCAGAGTGCCACAAATGATCAGAAAAGTACAGCATGAGAAAATGGTGAACTCTGAGTAGGGGAGAGAAAAGGAGACAGAGAATTCAGAGAAATTAAGAAAGAGAGAGAGAGAGAGAGAGAGACAGACAAAAGTCTAGACAAAAACGACCCTATGGGAGAATTCCCATTCCCCACAGAAACATTTCAGTGCTTGCAGCCACACTGACAGAGAGTAGCTGGCGGCTGTAAACTCCCTCACCCCCTGCAAGGCGTCTTACACTAACAACAATAGACTAAGACTGCTTGACCAGGCAGCACTGAGTGGGTCTGTGGAAATTAGCCCTGAAAGAGCCTTGAAAGCCTCTTTAGCACAAAGTAATGTTCAGCCCAGCATTATAAAAGGTGCTTTCTAGGTCAACCAGCCAGTTCACCTCAGGCTACAGCAGACTAGGCTGGGCTGGAAACATATCTGCATCTGCTTAAGAAGAGAAGCTGAGTAAATACTCAGTGTGTATGTGTGTGTGTTCATGTTTGTGTGCAGTCGCAGTGCATGAACAGTAGTGTGAGAGTGATCTCATCATCCAGCTCAGAACATTCGTTCCTTGGCCAGCCCATTCCGTGCAGGCCAGCCATCCAATGAGACGGCAGGGGAGGGGCCAATCAGTTTATCCCAGTTCACTGAGAGATGCAGTGAAGCGCTCTGCTCCAAGCTGTAGCTAACGGTTGCCTAGTCGAACACACAGCAGCCTACTGTTGGCTCTCTCACACAGGGCAGGGGCACCAACACAATAGAGCTGGTGGAACTGAGCCCCTACAGTACCCTGGACCCCCTAATAGGAGTGTTACACCACTCATTGCTCTACAATCCTGGAAAGCTACAGGGTTTTTGTTCTGGTCAGTATTAATTCAAATGACCACGTGCTTCATAGGCTAGAAGGCTATAGGTGTGTTAACTGGGCTAGAACAGAAGCCTGCACAGTGCACACCTTGTGGACCTTACAGATTTAAAGTTAGCCCATCGGACAGTGAGCCAGTGTAGGCCTACATCATCACCACTCTTGATTGGTTAACTCTCACTGTCCGATGGGCCAACTTTAAATCTGTACAGAGAAACTAAGGCAAACTAGGGACAGCACATTCTGTTCCTCTGTAATGATAACATTGCAATTGTTTCTGTAGTTAGAAACAAATAAGATTATCATTCCTGAAACATTACTTTGTTGAAATATAATTTCATCTGAGAAATTAAGCTAATTGATTGCACCTAAATTGGCCCTTTTAATTTATAGGATTCATATCATCTTCAATAAATATAATACCTAACATCGGATTTGGGCCAAAAATCTTCCAAACGATGAGTAAGCCATGAGGAATCCAATCCAATTATCAAAAGCCACCCACGGACCCCCACACCAATCCCACCGCAACAACCAGTATACAGTAACAGTTCCCTATGTCTGACTAGTATGGAGCTGCTGCTTGGAGTACGCCTATTGCTTCTTCATCCTTTGCAATATATTCCCTGTGAATCTGGTGATGTTTTTTTTCCCTGTTCAGAGAAATTAGCCATTGAAGTCACTTGCATTATTTACCTACATTCTACAAGCCTAGGGCACATTGTCAGGTAAATACATAGCTTGGAGAAGACTAATAAGACTGAATGCCTACCCCAGGATAAATACAAATCTGTGAAACTCGAAAGCTTACAGTACACATGCAAAAATAGGTTGTTATTTCAGGCCTATATCATGTTTGTTAGTGTTGCCCTGGAACAAACGCCTGCTAATCTCACACCTGCATCTTGTACTGTTATTGGCTGAGAAGTCAGCTTCCTGTGAGCAGTGGTCATGCATCTGTAAGAGTACCAGGATGTCATAGCACACAACCATCAATTGTTTAGGAGGAAATAAAATGAAAACAACTAGGCCTAGCCTAAGCCATTCTCTTTAGAAAATAGTTGACCGGTTAAAATCCTCATCTTGGCTTTCAAAGGGCAGCCAAAATGGACACACACACACATAGGGCTGAGAAATACATTGCATTGTAACCTATGCAATTCTTGCCAAAGCACTGCGTCCCTAAACTCTCACACCTCAGAGAGAGACTGAAAAGTGAGAACAGATGCTGCTGCTGTAACAGTAAGAGACTTTTATTGCCTGTATTACACAGACATAAAACCATCATCAAATCGGCCAGGTCAGGGCCACATTAATTGCTAGTTAGACAGGTAATTGGCCAGTGGATAGTCTATCGCAATAGACAGAATGCTATTCAAGATCCATTGGATGAGAGAAGGCTAAACAACAGACGCTGTAGGTAAACAGTTGCTTGAAGAAAACAGGACTGTTGAACTTGGCTATTGTTGCAGTGAGAGAAGTTCAGAAAACCAACCTTCTCACTAATAGGCTGCACTATAAATAGCAGTCACAGTGATACTACAGTAACAACAAGTGATTCACATGAAACCAGTTTTAACCATGGCAGTAGCAAATTGAGTTAGATAACCATGATGCATCTGCAACAATCAACTATCAATCTGAAGACGAAGATGCCTCATTTATGGTCTTATTTTAAATATATTTTACATTTTCGCCTGAATTTTGTACATTTTCACCCTAAATTCTCATTACCGAAATGTGTCCGGATTAAATTCTCTGGTTAATTTATACAATTTTACTTTAGAAGAACCAAAATTATTTGAATTGTAAAAAGAATGTATATTTATTACGCAAAAACACCGTCTGTGAACATGTTTTTTCATTACCCTAACACTTTTTCAGGTTGCTGTAAAAACTCCAATCATTTTTAAAGTTAAGGTTAATTCACATGATGCATCATCTAGAGGATTAGTCCTTAGATGAGCACAAGTTAATTTAATTTCTTCACTTATATGCCTTCAGAATGAGGATCTTATTCTCAAACACCCCCTTCACGACACTTGACCTTCTCATTACCGAAATTACAAAAAAGCTCAAATTTGGAAAAACGTAGAGAACCATTACCTTACCAACATTGAGGCATGAATGGGCTTTAGTGATGTGGTCAATTGTTTGCTGACTCATAATGGCTGCCTCCTATTACTTGCAGATTGCGCTAAGTGGATCTCATTACCACATAATTTTTAGGTCAGTTTTGGTAATGAGAACGATCATTTCGGTAATGATAATAAGCTAATTCTAATGTATAGTCGATGGGTGTGCTGTGCTGTGCTGGTAAATGTAATTATTTACTAGGACTACTGCTCACACCTATTGTATAGATGTTTTGTAAAACGTCAGTTATTTGATTAAGTAGGAGTTGTCAAGAAATATGGGTGTATAAACCACATTTAAATGTACTTAAAGCCACAATCTGGAGTTTGTGTTTCAGCAAAGAAAGGAAGATATACCCCATTTTGACATGTGTACCTGTTTTAGCACTTACCTATACTGTTGTTTGATATCCCAAGACAATATATTTAGATACTTTATAGGCATATCATGCTATGCCATTTGCCCATAGGATCCCATTCAATTTAGAAATGCATCTAAAATACCTTAGAACCACATATCCACGTCCTAATACACCAATATTGCCACACAAAAAAGTTTATGCTTAAAGGGAAAAAGTAAGTAAGTAACCTTATAAAGACACAGTGATTCCTGATTCCTGCTTATAAGCAAAAACTAAAGCAGGAAGCACCAGTGACTCGGTTAATAAAAAAGTGGTCAGATGACGCAGATGCTAAGCTACAGGACTGTTTTGCTAGCACAGACTGGAACATGTTCCGGGATTCTTCAGATAGCATTGAAGAGTACACCACATCAGTCACTGGCTTCATCAATAAGTGCATCGATGATGTCGTCCCCACAGTGACCGTACGTACATACCCCAACCAGAAGCCATGGATTACAGGAAACATCCGCACTGAGCTAAAGCGTAGAGCTGCCGCTTTCAAGGAGCGGGACTCTAACCCGGACGCTTATAAGAAATCCCGCTATGCCCTCCGACGAACCATCAAACAGGCAAAGAGTCAATACAGGACTAAGATTGAATCGTACTACACCGGCTCTGACGCTCGTCGGATGGGGCAGGGCTTGAAAACAATTACAGACTACAAAGGGAAGCACAGCCGCGAGCTGCCCAGTGACACAAGACTTCCAGACGAGCTAAACCACTTCTATGCTCGCTTCGAGGCAAGCAACAAACAAGATTCAGAAAAGGTTATTTTGTAATGAGAAATTACAATATACATTTAAATAATTATTTTTTTATATATATTTGTTGTTTTCAGTGTCATGTTTAACTCCAGACTTTTCATTAGGTGAGCAATGTTCAAAAATATTCTACATTGATTTGCTCATTACTTCTTTTACTTCTATATATAAAAATGTCACAACCTCGACTCATCCTCTGCCTATAGAGTATCACCCTGCCTGGCCATAGAGGGCTGGGTAGGAGCTGGTTAGCAAAGTAGCCTAGTAAACCTACAGGGATTAAGGTGGATTATTATCTACCTGACCTGAATCTCATCACTGTGAGGCAGTGCCTTGATTGATTACATGTGTTGGATATCTACAAAGGCCTAGCTGAGGAAACACAATGACACCATGCCATGGATGACACAGCACACAGCTTTCTCTCTCCATCTCCCTCTTTCCCTCTGTGCATCCGTCTCTCCCCCACTCACTCAGTCACGATTTTTTTCTGCCTGTGCCCCCGTCTCCCTCTGTCCTCCACAGCCATTTTGTGTAATATAATAACTCAATCTATGAGGGAGTGACATGCTACAGACCAACATCTGTACAGGAAGAGAATAATGGCGTTCTTGTACAGATTACAATGAAACTGTATGGATGATTGACAATCTATTAAAAAAAGAATGTGTTCAAATCTAGGCCATACACCAGGGTAGCATAGTTTCACCTGCCTCAAATAGAACATACCGGTACTTGACTTGGCTCAACTTGTCACATAGATACTAAAACACCTGAAAAGTACCTGGAGTGGTTATACATAGCAATAACATGATGTATGACAAATTCCGCTGAAGTTAAAGACTACATCCATCTCTCGAAACCAGGAAATTCCATCCTGTGCCTCGATTAAGTGCCTGTCAATTAGGCAAAAAACCACCAGCTCCTTCACTCAGGGAAAGTATACCCTGTTCCTGGAGAGCTAACCTCCTGTAGGTTTTCGCTCCAACTCCAGTTGTAACTAACCTGATTCAGCTTATCAACCAGCTAATTATTAGTATCAGGTGTGCTAGACTAGGGTTGGAGTGAAAACCTACAGGACGGTAGCTCTCCAGGAACAGGGTTGGAGAGCCCTGGTATAGAGAGAGCTAGGGTCCTGCCTGGTGCTGGGATGGGTAGGCTCACCAAACATTGATGTCCATTTCTAATGTGATATTAGTCTGTGTAGGCCAGGGGTATTCAACTCTTACCCTGGGCCCACGAGGTCTGGAGCCTGCTGGTGTTCTGTTCTACCCGATAATTAATTTGCAAGCACCTGGTGTCCCAGGTCTAAATCAGTCCCTGATTAGAGGGGAACAATGAAAAAATGCAGTGGAACTGGCTTTGAGGTTTAGAGTTTGAGGGTTGCCCAACCCAGTTCCTGGAGAGCTACCCTCCTGTAGGTTTTCGCTCCAACTCCAGTTGTAACTAACCTGATTCAGCTTATCAACCAGCTAATTATTAGCATCAGGTGTGCTAGATTAGGGTTGGCGCAAAAACCTACTGGACAGTAGCTCTCCAGAAACAGGACTGGGCAGTCCTGGTGTAGCCTATACTATTTATTAGTCTGTAGTTAGGTTAGGTGCTCTCTTTTCCAAGTCTTAGGCACAAAACCTCAGATTCATACTAAATCCTTTAGACTAGCCAAGGTCTATATGAGAGAGCAAAGGAAAATACCACAAACTATATTTTGGTATTTGTTTCATTAGTCCACTGTTGATACAGTCTGTTTTGCAATTCAGCAATCAAGTTTAAGATATGGACTAATTAAACAAATACCAAAAGATAGTTTGAGTGGAATTTTCCTTTAAGTGAAGTTCAGAAGGTGACAGTGGCTGAATTTGACAGTGAAAGTGATTGTCTTCAGAGACATGGATACAGGTATGAGTTTTGCAATGTGACTCATCAAATGACTGTCTTGCAATTACAAATGACTGTCTTGCAAACTGCATCATGTTCACCTTCCACTAGACATGCAGAAAATGTAACCAAAAATATACCAGAAAGAGTAGCACCCGCAAAAAGGCTCTCAAAGGGGAGGCATCCAATTCAATACTATCCCAGGCAGCAACACAACTAAAAAACTAAATAAATTATTGAATTATTAATGATTGTTATAGCGTCTTCCCTTTTATGTAGGCCTAGCTTATCAAACCATTGTTACTGGGCCCTATAGGCCGCGACCGGGAGACCCATGGGGCGGCGCACAACTGGCGCAGCGTCGTCCAGGGTAGGGGAGGGAATGGCCGGCAGGGATGTAGCTCAGTTGGTAGAGCATGGCGTTTGCAACGTCGGGGTTGTGGGTTCGATTCCCACGGGAGGCCAGTATGAAAAAAATAAACAAATAATGTATGCACTCACTAACTGTAAGTCGCTCTGGATAAGAGCGTCTGCTAAATGACTAAAATGTAAATGTAAATACATGTCAACTACGCTGGTTTATCTCGTGCTGCTCCCAATTTTAGACCAGGGACACAAGCACGCCACACACGGATAACTAGTCAGCGGAAATAGAGGCGTCCCAAGCATAATCAGCCATAAATGCCAGGGCATCAGTGAATAGTAGTTCATTGATTAAAACGTGTTGGCATCCAGGTAGTGATGACCCCATAGCAACTCAACTGCTAGCCATCCCTACTGAAATTGCATTTGAACCTATGAGCGCGCTCCTCTGCCCAGGTTTCGCTGACGCCTGCCAGATTTTAAGACGCCTGGATAGGTATTTCACCTATCAGCTAACCACAACATATGTTATAACAGTCTTTCAGTCGATGACACTACCGATGACGTTGTACGCAACCATTGGTTGGTGCAAGCAACTTCTAAGCAGGGGAAGGCGACCAAAATCTTTACCTAGCCTCGCTAAATGTCACCATTTCTGAGAATACGTCAACTAGCTGATATAACTCTTAAAATGCATTAACATTGTAATAAGAAAGTGTAGTAACTGATAATAACAAGCCAGCTGATATCGAGGAAATCCAGTTTGGGTTCGTTTATGTTTATTGTTAAGACGCCGGTCATCATGATAAGGGAACATCTCACCGGCTAACTTGATGAAGAAGCTATAATATTGCTAAAACATTGCTATTCTAGCAATATCAGAACAACTTACCCGTAGTTAAGTGTTTTAATATCCGTAGAAACCACCAAAATGAGAGATAAATGTTTAACGGTTAACGTTAGCAAATATTCCCTCGATAATCCCTTATCTTCCGTCGGTGAGAGCGCGCTTGCCTGTGATGTGTCCGTGCTACAGTTGTTCGGGAGGAATCGCGATCTCTTCCCGTTCTCTGCCTAGCCCTTCCAATTTCTTTCGCTTCTTTGATTCCCTTTCTCTATTTCATTTAAATGTCTGACATGCTCTCCCCGGCCACGCCACATGGGCTGACAGCTTGGCTGGGCTGTCCAGTCCAATGAGAAAAGAGGCAGGGCTCACAGTCTCATCCAGTGATGGGGTGATTCGCTGAACGCTGTAGTTTCGGGAAAAAAACGGAAGAAAGCGATGGCAAGGTTACTGTAGTTCATTCGGAAAGTATTGGATGTATCCTTTGTGCAAGTCCAACGGGAGCCTAGCTCAGTTTCCCCCGCCCCGTTATATTGGTAAAGCCCAAGTCCAAGTTCATCACTCAAGTTCAAAGCGCAGAACCATCACTTACAGGTCTGAGCCGTGTTCAGATTTCACACTGTTTGAACAAGAACTAATTTCGAAATCTTGCAGAAAGGAGGACACGTGCAGTTGCAATAGTCCATGGACTTTGGGAAACACATTTGACAATCTTGATCAATTAGATTTTCTCCCCTTTTTATTCACAAGTGTATGATTTTTTTGCAATGCAATTTATTGGAGATGGATATACCATTAACGTTTGGTGGATTTAGCCTACACCAGGTAAATATTTTCCCCCTAACCTATTAATAATGAATTAATGTATTCTTTACAGCATGTGTAACGCATTTGGAAATCTACTAGTGCAGATTAGGCCAATACTATGTTGAATATAATTTGTATGAACTGCATGTTGACCTGTGGTTGACATTGTAGAAATTATATATCTATCAATGCATGTATTCCATCACCTGGACGAATTTAAGGTGTCATCTAACGTATAATTTTTTTAAATCATTGAAATATTTTATATCCATTGGTTGGATGTATAGAAAGATAGTCATTTATTTTATTGCACCCAAGTATTCAGAGACTTTTGTATTGTTTAACAAGAGATTTGGTAACACTTCATAATAACTTTCACCAATAAGCCATTATAAAATGTTTATAATTGCTTATAAATGCTTTATACATAAAAAATGTAAATGTTCATGAATTTTTATGCTTATAATATAAGGAGTATAAATGTTAAATAACTAAATACTCATTTTATAGTTTATAAAATAGTGTGTGCTTATTCATGTACGTTTTTATATAGTGTTAATGGGTATTTTACCCAAAGTCAGTCAGTAGGCATTTCTTCTGTAGGTTGAACTTGAGGAGCAACCACATCAACACACCTGAATAGGTTATTATGGCGAATGTAGTCAGCGCTGACAAACGTGTTAGTACACACCCAAATCGTGACAAGGTGTGCTCATATTTGTGATATTTTACAAACGTGAAAATGAACCAATCACATAGCAGGGGTGTGTGGGCATCTCCAATCAGCGTAGATGTGAGGGTGTTGCTAGGAGATAGGGTGATGTGATGACAGTGAGGGGAGGAGCTTGTTGCCAGGGCAGCAAGGATGGTGATGTAATCAGAAATGCTGCCTGACTGTTCGGGTTACTAGAGTTCAATGGTGAAGATGGCATTATGTCGAAAAACTGTACTACCTACTTTGTACTGTTCTGTCAGTATCTTGGACTGTACTTATTTACTAACCTAACTACTAATCATGATAACCTGTAGAAAACATGTGGAAATATGTACATAATGTGTTAACATTCATATTTCATAAGATCCCTTTTCTAGTCAAATTTGTATACATTCTGGTTTGGTGTAACACTTTTTCAATAAAGGAAACATTTTTAAAAATGTAAAAATTGAATTAATGTTTTATTGGAAAAATCACTACTTCATGATTTGTTATAAAATCAACACAGATATCAACACCTGTTCAGGACCAGTACAACAAGAGCACAAAACAGTTGATTAGTCATGATGGGAGAAAAACATGAGCAGGTACAAAATAGTGCTTTTCAGTGTGGTCCTCTGTAGCTCAGCTGGTAGAGCACGGCGCTTGTAACGCCAAGGTAGTGGGTTCGATCCCCGGGACCACCCATACACAAAAAAAAATAAAATAAATGTATGCACGCATGACTGTAAGTCGCTTTGGATAAAAGCGTCTGCTAAATGGCATATTAAAAGTACAGTATACACTTCAATGAATCCTCTCCTTCCTGAGGTGTAAGGCCACGTGGTTCCTCCTGGCCTGAGCAGATAGTAACTGTATCTACCTAATATGGGTGCCAGACTGGTTCTGCTGTCAGCACCACTCCCCTGGTGGCCTTGCTAGAGCAGAACCAGCCTGGCACCACCCACGCAATATCTATTACCTTCTGCACCAGCCTCTGATTTTATAGTAGCACTCTAGTTTACAGTACAGAAATGACTAGGTATTTACTTGTCATTTCTACCTACTAAGTATGTTGGTTTTGTTAAATCAAGCACCACAAGGAAACATTTGGTACCAGGTACCAACAGTTACCATTTGTGTTGAATTCTGTTAGCCTACCAGAAAGTCTCCATCATTCTTTGATATTGTAGTTCCTGATCTTGCCCCCCCTTGCACTAGTCTTGGTCTTCCTGGCGGTGGCAGACGGCCTGGCTGGTTTCTTCCTCTCCAGGACAGGTGCTCTGCACCCCTTCACCCCCCTCGCCTGGCCCCCAGGGCTGGGCTCACTCAGCTCACACCTGGTCAGCTCACCATCACCTGCGTGCAGATGTGTAGAAATTCAATTCCAGCCTTGTAAAAGGTTGTTACATGGGCAGAATGAGACAGTGAGTGAGACAGTGTGTTGCAGTACAGTGCCGGTCTCCTTCAGTTCCAAACAGTCAGTGAATGAGGGCTCATTCCCACAGAGATACACAGACACACTCAGACTCAGTGCTGCCTGGTCAAGCAGTCCAAGGCCATTATTTCCAACCTGAGACGCCTTTCAAAATGTCAGCTATGAAAAGCCTGCTGGCTGTAAAATCCAACCCCCTGCAAGGTATTTGAGGTTGAACACAATGTACCGGGCAGCACTGAAAGCATCTGCGAGGATGAGGCCTAAGGGACTGCCACCGAAAGTGTCTGCAGTGCAGAGAGCCTGCATGGCTGGGTAGAGACAGAGCTCACATTGTGCCTTTCTGAATCTCTCTCCACAGCACGGAGAGGCAGAGGCTTTTTGCACCAACATCTCCATTATCTATACTACTGTACAACACCATGATTACCAATCTCCTCTCCTGACAGAGTACTAAATACTAAGTAAAGTAAGTGTTCGTAACAATCTCATTCAACTCGCACACCTTTATGAACGTTGCTTATCTATACCAATGCGTCTAAAGATTGCTTTCCTCTTCATCGTTTACCCAGCAATTATGATATTGGTATCTACCACAACCCTCTTTGTTGAAGTCTCTGGTGGTATACACGTGTTGCATGCCTCCCCAGCCCCATTCTCCTGACACGTGATTGCCTTATGTGGGTGTTCTTCTCAACGTTTACTCAGCATAATGTGGAAACACTTGGCAGTCTACTGCTGGGCCAACTGTGAGGCAATGCCTCTGTTCTAAATCTAATCTGAAAGATGGACACACTGTGTTGGATGACCTTCACTACCATCTGTGACCTGTTGCAGTGGTTGCTGCTGAGGCAAGACATATATGAACACACAGCAATAGAGCCAGGCTATCAGTCAGCACTTCTTCTAGCAGGCGGTGGCTGTGTGTGCCAGCCTGGCCTGGCCAGTGCACTGGGCTCTGCAAACAACACCGGTGTCAACAGAGCCAGACCTAACCCATGAGTGGCTCCACTGTCCACTGATTGAGAAACTGTTCCCAGTGCAGAACAGAGTCCCTGGTCAGAGCCTTCACCCCGTCACCACTGTGATCTGGCCCCAGACACAAGTGTGCGTCCCAAATGGCACCCTATTCCCCATGTAGTGCACTAATTTTGTCCAGGGCCCATAGGGCTCTGGTCAAAAGTAGTGCATTAGGGAAAAGGGTGCTATTTGGGACAGATACAAGGCCACCAATTGGGCAAACTCCCTCCTCTGTGGCCAGACTGCAACTCTGTCTTTACTTAAACCTCAGCTATGTGAAATGATAAACACTATTATCATCATCTCATACAAATAGTGACTTGGCAGTTGTCGCTAACCTTGGTGTGTGTGTCATGAAAGAGTGATGCTGGACTTCCTGTACCAGATACTCTGCTAAGTGCTAAATGGCCAATAGAATGCAGACACACAAGTTGGTTTATAATGGTGTGACTCACAGAGGAGAGTGAGAGAGAGAGCACTGACAAGTAATTAGACAAATACCTTCACCTCACTGTCTCCAGGTAAACTCTCACCTCTCTCAGAGCAGCTCTCCCGGGGTGTGAGTATGGAGGGGCTGAGGCCTCTGTCCAGTATCTGCCACACCTCCCTTAGTGAACCCTCGGTAGCCACCGATGACAGCAGTAGAGGACCTGACGGGCTGGAAGCGGTTCGTGACCCGAGATCCAGCCGCAGGGAGCTCAGGGATTGGCTGAGAGGAGGAGGAGGGGTGTTCTCTTTAGTCCTAGGACGCTGAGGAAGAGGAGAGAGAGATAGAAGAAGTGAAGACATGGTCTTTGTTTTACTTAACATCTTACTCAGGTGTTAATTTTTATTTTACATTTATTCAACTAGGCAAGTCAGTTAAGAACAAATTCTTATTTACAATGACGGCCTACACCGGCCAAACCCGGACGACACTGGGCCAATTGTGCGCCGCCCTATGGGACTCCCAATCACGGCCGGTTGTGATACAGCCTGGAATCGAACCAGGGAGTCTGTAGTGACACCTCAAGCACTGAGATGCATGCAGTGCCTTAGACCACTGCGCCACTCGGGAGCCCATAATATTAATTTTGCACAGAATTCTAAAGCTGAGTATCATTTCAGTGACATTTATCTCTGTTGCTATAGTTAATGCTGCAATATGTAACTTTTTGGGGATCGGACCAAATTCACATAGAAATGTATGTTATAGATCTGTCATTCTCATTAAAAGCAAGTCTAAGAAGCGGCAGATCTGTTCTATGTGCGCTATTTGTATGCTCCCCGTTCTTAAGTTGAGTTTTTGCGTCTTTTACTTTCGTTTTGTACACCAGCTTCAAACAGCTGAAAATACAATATTTTTGGTTATGGAAAATATATTTTACAGCGGTTTAGATGGTACAATGATTCTCTACACTATACTTGCTTGTTTAGTAACATAAACTGAAATTAGGCTAAGTATTATAATTTTAGTAACCAGGAAATGGCATAGCCATTTCTGCATCTTTAATAAGCCTTTATGGCCAGACCTCAACTCTATATATTGATCAAATGAGTTGAGAAGCCAAGCTCTTGCAGCATTGGTCCTCAGGTCAAGTGGTATCAGACAGTGTAGACAGACATTACTGTTGTTACCTCATGTCTGGCTGTGTCCTTGTGCCCATGGCCCCAGGGGTTGGTGACCCTTTCTCTGTCTCCATTCTTGCTCTCTGAGAGGAGAGGCCTCACCATGATAGGAGCCCCCTTCCTCTGCTCTCTCTGGGCATACTGCAGCTCCTGAAGAGAATCATGGTTTACTCTGGTGCTCCCTCTGATGGTCACACAGAGTACTGCTCTACATTGCAGTCCTAACCTGAGATACGACAATGTAGCTTTCACACTGCTGTCTCATTGACATCAAGGGGTAAGGGGTCAGACCTGTGTGGTGAGCTGGTACTGCAGTTGTTCTAGGGCAGAAAGTCGACCCTGCTGGTGCTGGGTGTCTCTGGATGGGTCTCTCTCTGGCTCCATAGACACTGGGGCTAGAGAGGTTTTGGAAGCAGACTGGAGAACTGAGAGAGAGAGAACAAGAGAAAGAGTTATAAGTGTGAGAAAATAGCACGGAGAGAAGTGTACATACGTATGTGTGTGTCAATGGAGGCTACTGTGGGGAGTACGGCTCATAATAAATGGCTGGAATGGAGTGAATGGAATGGTATCAAACACATTATTATGAGCCGTCCTCCCCTCAGCAGCTTCCATTGGTGTGTGTGTGTGTGTGTGAGAGAGAGCAGAGGCATCCAGGGTGTTTGTGTTTTTCCTCCGGCCCCTGGGGCTGCGTTTGATCTCTGCTGAATCCCCCATAATCCTGTGGGGCAGCAGGGATCAGGGAGAACGGCGGGGTGGAAGAGCAACACGGCAGAGAATACTTCCTGTCCCTGTCAACATCACAACACAGCCGGACCACACCACCGGACCAATCACAGCACAGCTGTACTTCCTGTTTACACTTTCCCTGCAAAGCCAATTTGACTAATCGAATGAGTTTACATTATACTGTTATCATAACATGGCCAATCAAATGAGTGTACATTAGACTGTTATCATTGGCTAGTTAAAAATAGGTTAATAGTCTGTGGGATTAAGCTGTCATAATGCTGTATTGGTTATGTGATATCTGGTCTATATAGCCTAGCTGCCATTATGTAATATGATCGGCTTTAATATTGCAGATAGATTGTAGGTTCTAGAGTGTAGTTTTAATTGTTTGCATCATTTCTAATCCTCCTTATCATTTTTTTCTCTATACTTTTCCCCCCCTACCCTAACCATCCCTACCCTAACCATCCCTACCCTACCATCCCTACCCTAACCATCCCTACCCTAACCATCCCTACCCTACCATCCCTACCCTAACCATCCCTACCCTAATTGGAGTCTACCCTAATTGGAGTAAACTAAAGGGTTGTATCTTTTAATTCTCTGGTATGGTTAAGCAGTAGTGAATGACAATGCTGTCAGTATGTATAGTAGTGTCAGTCCACAGGAGGTTGGTGGCACCTTAATTGGGGAGGACGGGCTCGTGGTAATGGCTGGAGTGGAATTAGAGGAATGGTATCAAATACATCAAACATGGTTTCCATGTGTTTTATTCCATTCCGGCCATTACTATGAGCTGTCCTCCCCTCAGCAGCCTCCTGTGCGTCAGTCCTACCCTCCAATCCAGCGTCGGTCACTTGTGCCCGGAGCCTGTTGCCCATCTCAATCAGCTGCTGTTTGTCTCTGGTCAGACGGGCGATACAGTGCACTGCTTGCTTCAGTTTGGACTGTAGGAGATGGGCACTGAGAGGGGCATTGCGCTTACCCCCCTGTACCCCCCCACACCCTGGCCCGTACCCGCCTGCCCCACCAGGCCTCAGGCCCAGGGACAGCCGCTGTTGCCTCAAACACAGGTTTTCCTCCTGGAGCTGCCTCACCATCTCACTCTGGAGGGAGGGAGGGATAGGGAGAAAGATAAGTGTATATGGACTAGGGTTGTCATGATACCATTATCGCGATACTACAATACCTGATTTTCCATGGCAAAAAAAAAACACGAAGCACACTAAACTCTTTAGTCCTTTTTAAACCTGCTTTATGTCAAATATTGTGTGCTATAGCTTGAAAAATAAACAAATGTGATTCTGGGTGACAACATAGGGCTGCTTGTTTCTAACATTAATATGGACAGTGGACACAACAGACACAGCAAAACCATGGAACATAGACTCACTGACACTCTCTCCACCCAACACTCTGTGTTTATAATCATCTATGTCAGTGGTTCCCAAACGTTTTTGGCCCACGACCCCATTTTGATATCTGAAAATTCTCACGACCCCAACCATGTGAAAAAATGTATGTAATTAACAGCCAATGTTTACTTTTTTATTTGGGGCTATGGCAGTCAATTGAAAAACATTAACAGTATTTCTGATTGTTTTCTCAACTCACCATCACATAATTTTAAATGTGGAGCTATGACAGTCAACTGCAAATTAGTCTGACATAATGTATCTTATCTCACCACCACTAATGAGAGGGGTGCGCTTGATGCATGTCACGTCAGAGATGCTCAAAGTCAGGGGGCGTGGTCGACAGTGCACACCTCATCTCTGCTGTCACATCCAACCTGGATCAATATTTGGTTTTTAGTGCAGACGAGAGCACTGAATCCAGCTTCACACAGATATGAGCTGGTGAAGGGTACCATGAGATTTATGGTGCTTTCAAGACAACTGGGAACTCTGAAAAATAAGAGGTCTGATCATGACGTCAGTGATCTTTAGGTTGTCAAGTCAGAGCTCTAGAAAGAGGCCCAAGTTACGAAGTTGGAATGCCGAAACTATTTTTCCCAGTCGGAGCTCGTTTTATTCAGAGTTTCCAGTTGTCTTGAACGCACTGAAGTCGGAAGTCGGATATTTACTAGTTCCCAGCTCCGAGTTCCCAGTTGTTTTGAACGCGACATTAATGCACAGAGGCAGACGGCAGGGTATTATTCCCTTTGAGTTAGGAACCAAAACTCCTCTGTAGTGACCCGTGAATGCATTTGATTTCACCTACCGGCATGTCAACTGAGCCAGGATCACAGTCAAACGGATTGGGAAGTAGGTCCCAAAGTGCTCTTCCAAGCATTGGAGGTAAGCAGTCATCACTCGTGTGGGACTCTTACTGATGCTGTTTTCTGTTAGGAAAATGCACAGCCGAGGGAAGGGAGCATCATACAATGCGTCCATATGGCAGAGTGAGACACATTCATAACTAGAGTGCAGAGGCCTGCCCGCCATTGATGGAGCCCCATCTGTGCAAAAGCCCACCATTCGATCTTATGGAATCTGTTTTTCGTCAATATAGCCATGCAGCACACTGAACATCCCCCGTGCCCTTTCATGCTCGGGAATCGTGAGAAAAAAACAATATGTCCTTGGGAATAGCATCCCCCGACATGTACACTACCAGTCAAAAGTTTGGACACACCTACTCATTCAAGGGTTTTTCTTTATTTTTACATTGTAGAATAATAGTGAAGACATCAAAACTATGAAATAACACATATGGAATCATGTAGTAGGTGTGTCCAAACTTTTGACTGGTACTCATCTCGGCCCTCACAGCTAATTTGGAGAGCATAAACTGGGGAGTTTGAGTCGTTCAGTCAGTTTCCTTATGATTGCGAGCAATAGCATAAATTATTTGTTTAACAGTGTTATCTGACAAAGGCATTGATGTGAGTTTCTGTGCCTCTGCCACCCACACATTGTTTTCACCATATGAATTGCGGCCGGTAATATCAAAGTCTCTGCAATAGTGTGTGCCATTCACTGTGGGAATGATTCAAGTGCAACAGTCAAGTGAGTCCTTTTCCCATGATCTAAGGGCTCTCTCTGGTTGAATTTTAACTTTTAGATTTGAATAATTTTCATTTAGATTTTTAAGGTTTTGAGATACAAAGATAATATTATAATACATTTAGTTATATATGTATATTTTTTCTTCAGGAATTTGGAAAATTCTCCCGCGACCACATTTTCATATCAGGCAACCCCACATGGGGTCGCGACCCCTAGTTTGGGAACCACTGCTATATGTCTTGTCATTCATTCTGCTATGGTTTACCTCTTCACAGACGATGGGATCCCTTCTGCTGGCGATGTCCATCTTCAGTGCAGACACCTGGTCACAACAACAGTTTGTGTAATGGCAGTGTAAAGTCAGTTATTATAAGCTGACAATACCCTGACCTCAAATGTCATTGTTAAGAAAGTGTTTTGTGGGCTATCTGACAGAGGATTCCAGTAAAGTTGAACTAAAACAACAAAAACATTTTGTTTCCATTTACATGCATTGTCTTAGGTTTAAGGCAAGCTGTCACTCTGCCTTACCTGGTTGCCCAGGGCAACAGTTTCTAGGTTGTTGAGGATGCTTCCTTTCTGGTACTCCTCTTTCTCCCGCCTCACTTCCTCCAGCTCCATCTCCACGGCAACCAAACGCTGACGTAGTCCTGTCTCCTCAGACGACCAGCTCCTCTTCTGATTGGCCAGCTCCAGACGCAGCTCCTCCCCCTCCATCTGTTTGGCATGGCACTGTGTGTGGAGAGAGAGAGAGAGAGAGAGAGAGAGAGAGAGAGAGAGAGAGAGAAAGAGGAGGCTTGCGGGTGGACAATGACTACTAATACTGTTTTGAAATCCATAATTTGTTGCCTGAATACAACAGTGCCTAAAGTTTAAATTACAGAAGGGCTGGATTTGGGAAGGAGAGAGTCAGTACCTGTTGTGTGAGCGAGGCCAGGGCAGCCTCCAAGTGAGCCACCCTAACCTCCTGTTTCCTCAGAGCTGCAGTGTTGGCCACCTTCTCCACTCGCAGGCCACCTGCAGTAAACATTACATAGACAATGGCTATGAGTTTTATGTTGTTGTCGCTTTTTATATTTACAACACCAAGACAAATTCCTATCATCATTGTTGAATGGAAATAAAACTTATTTTGCTCATTTTAATTCTCAGCGTAGCAGTACACTGAAACACAAGTAACTACCATTCTCAGATCTCTGGTCAGAACTTTATCAAATGTGACAAGCGATACCATTATCTCTGTCCTAGTACCATTATATTGTATATTATTGAAATGTCCTCCTACCGATGGTCTCGTTGAGGGAGCGGATGTGGTTCTGGAGGTATGCGTTGTCGGGGGCGATGGGGACGAGTGTGGTTGCCGGGGTAACCGTGGCAGTGTTGAGGGGTCTGGTGGAGCCCTCTAGCTTGTCCTCTAAGTGCCTACACCTGGCCTTCAGTTCTGCTACCTCCTCTTCTAGAGCCTGGGTGTACTCTGGGGTACCTACCACTGATAAACACACACACACAGGTTACTCAGGCGGGTGTGACTGAGTCACGGTTATATTACTACCCTTCTCTATTTCCTAAAGGTTGAGGTTTATGCCTCCACAGCCAGTCCATTACTAGCTAGCTGTAACCATAAAAACTCATATTACACTTTATGTAGACATTAATACACTCCTTACAGGTCTGCACTGGGCTGTGTGACGGGTTAGTGTCTACACCTGTTGGCCTGGGCTTTGAGATAGTTGGGGGCCAGCAGGATGATGGGGGGTAGTGATGGTGATAGGGTGCTTTTTAAGGCTCTGGTAGGGTGCGGGTGTTACTTGTGGTGGGAGGTGAATGGATGGGGGGCTAGGGATGTATGGGGTTAGGGATGCACGCATGGTAGATTTGTTTGTGGTGCAGGTGGGGAGGGGTGTCGGTGTGAGCGAACACAGAGTAAGCAGTGAGACATGCTTGTGATGACACTTGTTGGCCTGGTGCTTTAGGGAGCTGTCAACAGGTTGGGGTTGAGGTGTGGGTGGATCCAGGACTGTCTGGGGCTTCTAGGGGTTGTGAGTAAATAGTGTTTATACCTGCCAGGCTTGGCTGTGCAGCGCTGTCAGTTGGCTTGGCTGAGCTCTGTGCTGGAGGCTGGGGTAGAGGTCCTTTAGGGATCTGGGTTGAGGTGTCAGGGGGTCCTGGAGGATGAGAAGGCTGGCTGAGATCCTCCATGTCCCTCCTCATCTGGGCTATGACAGCCCTCAGACTGCTGTTCTTCTGCTGCAGCCGATGGATCTCCTCAGACGGCAGCTCCCCTACAGAGACACCACCACCAGGTCTGTTGCCCTGCAGTGTAGATAGACAGACAGAGAAATAAATACACGCACACACACAGAGGCATGAAAGCAAGCACGCACGCACGCACATACACATGTGCACACAAACACTCATATACGCACATACACACGCACACAAATAAATAAACACGCATGCATACACATTAATATCTGGCTGTGAGCAGTTTCAACCAATGACCACTAGATGGAGGTAAGGTTCTGATTGTAGTTGATGGATGATGGCGGGCAAACATTTTAATGTATATCAGTCTTATAATCTTGAAAACATACTTGAATGCACACACTATTAACTCAAAACCTGTGACCATGCAAAAGGGTGTTTTTGAAAAATATATATAACCAATACCTTCAAGTTAAAATGAATTATGAGACTAACCCTGGCCTACTGTATTGTATATTATGGTTGATGGTTCTAAGTATTCCTTCTAAAAGGGAAAGTTCCCTTAATAAAACACCAATATAAAGTACACCACTTTGACAGATGACACAACCGGTACGACCGAGTGAAAACCAATACTCAGATTCTGCTTATTAACAATTCAAAAGGGGGTAGCAACCTTTTCAGGAAGCCATAAACACCGGACCTTTGGCCCTGGGCCAATAGGGTGTCCCATTTCAGACCCTCCGTATACACAGTCAGTAGGAATAGGCTCTAACTATTGATCCAGAGTCAGATACTGTTCCATAATCTTGATGGTTAAGGCTAGGATAGAATATGAGTTAGGGATAGGATAGACGGATCCTAGATCCAGGGCAAGATTCATCCCAATAAACATCAACCTGCCTAAAATGCAGAGATAATAGTATCATTTCATGCACAGAAGTTGAGTTTAAATTAGTCTTCCGTGATAAAATTTGAAAAAATTGATTTAGTCAAGGAGGCCTGAAATTAGATCGACTACTACAGCCACACATTTTCAACAAACAACAAACGATCAGTTTGACAAAAAGTCAACTTTGTCACAGTCTCCCCCTATATTCAAGTATCTGCCGACACTACTGTACATTAGATGGGTCTCTTTTCCCTCACCATTAAGTTGATAGACGTATGAGATCCTTGAAGGCTGGTATGTGAGGATGACATGGTCACGATGATGTCATTTACAGGGCGTATGGATGTCAGATTTATATAGTGTAGTAGCGTGGCTCACGGTAGCGGTTAGCTTCATAAACTCAGCAACATTCCTCTGTGGGCTCAATGGCTGGAATGGAATCAATGGAACAGAGTCAAACACGTTGTTTGCATGTGTTTGGTACCATTCAATTGATTCCATTCCAGCAATTACAATGAGCCCGTCCTCCTATCGCTCCTCCCACCTGCCTCCACTGATGTGTACTTACACTGTAACTGTCTGCAAACTCAATGAAGTTTGTGAAAGGCCCTTTGAAAAGGCATTTGTCCCTCATATATCTAGGTCCCATAAGCTGACAAAGGATAGCCACTCTTGGGAACTAAATGAAAGTTCAAGCTCAAACCCAACACGTTTTGGCATTAAAGCCTTGCACAGGGTCCAGGGTAAGTGCTATAGAGCCAACAAAGACAGGTATGTTGGTCAGGCAGACAGTCAATATGAAAGGGTATCAGACCACTTGGGCTGTTCAAGGAAAGGGCACCTCCTAAAAAGGTCTGTGGTCGGGACCAGAGCCCCCCTCTAGGAATGGAGGGTCATCATAAGGGTAGAGATAACACCCAAGTATGTGTGTGTGTGTGTGTGTGTGTGTGTGTGTGTGTGTGTGTGTGTGTGTGTGTGTGTGTGTGTGCGCGTGCGCGAGTGTTGTTGAGAGCAAGAGTTCATTTGATGGAATGGGAGAAGTCGCTTTAGATAAGAGAGGAATCTGGGCATTGAAGAAAGCCAAGTAACTCCAATGAAGAATGGGGTTGTGGGTTCGATTCCCACGGGGGGCCAGTATGAAAATGTATGCACTCACTAACTGTAAGTCGCTCTGGATAAGAGCGTCTGCTAAATGACTAAAATGTAAATGAAAACAGAACAGTAGAACCTTTAAATAAAGGAATAATAAACTATTGAATGGAGAACAGTAAAAGTATTGACTGATAGAATACAGAAAATAATGAATGAAAGAAATCAGTGAAACTATGTTTTCTGAGGTCAAAAGCAAGGTACTATTTCTGGAGTACACCTTGAAAAAGGGCCCCTTTGAAGAAGAGGAAGAGTAGGACAAGATAAGGGTTAAGAGGGTCCAGTATCAGATTAAGTTCAGACCAAGAAGCTCAGTAACACCAGGCCAGGAGTCAGGAGGAGGAAGAGGAGGGTATAAACCAGATAAGTCGTATAACTTTGGCAATTAATCTAATGGATAGAGTCCAGTGTCAACAGCCACATGCATTAGTAATAGAGGTGGTGTTAACAGGAGCCGAGGGCCGTTTAAAGACTACCACTCCTGGCCTGGTAACAGCTTATTTTCTCTGCCTCTATTTCTCTGTGTCTGTCTCCCATAGTCTATCACTCTCCCCCCCACTTCCTGCACAGTCTGCCACACTGCCCTTATGGTCAGTGATTTGGCTGTTGTCTGTTAGCTCGGTCAGAATGTGAAAGAGGGTGGCTGTAATCTGTTGTTGTGGCATAAGGTCAGTCAGAATGTGTGAGAGAGAGAGTGCAGCCGTTCTGTCAGAAGGCTTTAAGGTCAAAATAACTTTAAATGCTCAAGATTAACGGCCAGCCTGGAGACAGGGGTGAGGGGATACCGTATCGGTCATGCCCTGGCCCCCAAAAAATCCATCTCTCACACCCAAACTCCCCTCCTCCTCCCCATGCTTCCGCCTATCGCCCTACTCCCTTTCTCTCACAATCCAGGACACATGTGGGGCTCCTGCTGTTCTTCAGAATAACTGTGGTAACATCACTCAAGGGCTAGGGTTTCTGGGGTAAAGTCAGTTCCTTCCCCTTCTTACCCTCCCCCCTCTCTCACACTCTAGTCCCCCACTGTACTCTAACTCCCACTAAAAATGGGACTCAAGTGTCATACAAGTGTAGGACTTCTGCTGCTTTTTAGAATAGCTGTTGTAACACTGGTTTCTGGGGTAAAGGGGTTAGTAATTCTGAACATCTCCAGAAACAGATACAGATCTAGGTATTATTGTCCCTTGACATCTCTTTCTGTCTCTCTCTCTCTCTCGCTCTCTCTCTCATAACAGAGATAACTCTCTGTAACCCATCACTCTTACCTTTAACTCTGTGGCAAGTAGTTAAAGCTCCAACATAATTGGACGACATCCCTCCCCTGTGTTTTAGTTGGTCTCTCACCTGTTCTCTAATTGGCTGACCCAGGGCCTGGTCTCTCTCCATGGTAACCGTGTGCAGTAGTACCACCATGTCCTGTAGTTCTCTCTCCTTCTCTCTCAGCTCTGCACTAGCCTGAGGGCAACAGGAAGTACAGAATCACAATGAACTGATGATGAGGAGAGGCCTCTACCGATCCTGACCATATATTTCCACCTCAACTTGTACTGGTATATGGGTTCACTTGTATTACATACCTGTATATGAGTACACCTGTATGAGGAATGGAGAGTCTCACCTGGTCTCTGGCCTGTGTCAGGCCCTGTATTAACTCTTCACTGTGCAGGTAGTGTTCAGCCTTGTTGTCTTCGCAGCGTCTCTGCCACTCCAGCTCCACCTGGATTCTCCTCTGCTCCAGAGCCTTCTCTCGCTCCACACCCACAAACAGCTGCTGCTTGTACCTGGGATACACACGCACGCACACAAGCAAGCATGCTCGCGCACACACGTATACACACACACACACAGTGTTAACACCTGAGACATACACACACATCCAAATAACCCTTTTACCTGCAAAAAAGACACACACACACACCAACCTTTCCGTCTCCCCCCTGCTCCGATCAAGTTCGGTCCGTAATTTGCTTTCTCTCTCCTGCAGGGCCAGCAGCTCTGTGTCCTTAAAAACAGTCTCCTTAGAGACCTGAGTGATGTACGTGTCCCAGCCACTACGAGTCGTCTCCAGCTCCATACAAAGCCTTCACAACACAATAACACACAGGTTGAAGTTGTTGTACCGAAACAACACTAAAATGTTCACCTCCTTTTATTAAGAGTACCTTTAACATCCTGGAGGTGAGCCCTGAATCTGTGTTACAAAATGGTACCTGTGTTTTCCCCCTGTACACATTTGGATCTTAATTTGAGCTAGTTTGCTACAGCAGGGAAATAATCCTGCAGCAACAGGAAAGGTTAATTATTATGTGGATTATAATTAATGTACATTTTTGTAGGGGTTGATTTCAAAGTGGAAATGACATACTGTCAGAAGCCTTTTTAAACCTGAAATACACTACAAGTTTAGAATTTCCTGCATTGCAGGAAAGTTATCCTGCAACAGCGTGATCAAATTAAGATCCTACACCTGTATATTTTCACTGTAGAGACATTTATGAACAAAGTGTGATGATGTGATATGATTGCTAAATGTTCTGTGTGTGTTTCATCCCCTTAAGAGAGCGCCTCGGAGGCTCTTTCCTTTCACACATTGTTACATAATCACTGCTTCCTGCCAGACACCTTCAGAGTAATGTACGCCCACATACTGTCTCACTCACTCCCAATCACTCACTGAGCATGTTCAAACACTGATCATCCAGGGCTTTGGACCAGAGACACACACTTAAATAAAGCACATACACTCACAAAACACAGACACAGTTAATGCAGAATGTGCACGCACAAACAAACACACACACACACAGTGTTTCACCTGTCTATCTGTTGATCTCTCTCTCGCAGTGTGTCCTCGTTGTCTCTCTGGGTCCTGTGTGTGTGTGTTACCATGGCGTCCAGTTTTGCCTGTAGTTGACCGGTATGTGTCTCTGCCTGTCGTAGCTGTTCTCTGTGAGCGTCCCTTAACGCATCCAACTGAGCCTCTCTCTCACGCACTCCCCGGTCCAACTGCTCATGCCTACAGATGTGAACATTAAAAGACTCACCATTAGACTACCATTAGTCTAGGACTACTGCTGATATGCTGGTCGTTTGTCTTTGCGGTCCTATGTTGCGTTTGTATAGTAGGACTCACTTCTTGTTGTAGACTTCCTCCTCTCTCTTCCTCTTGGTCTGTAGAGCTTTTAATTTGTCCACTAGCTCCTTTATCCTGAGAAATGACAATCACATTTTATCTAACACATGGGAAATGATGGGAAATAAGGTTGTCATGAATAATTCTAAGTCAACGTGGTAGGACACACACACCTTGCGTCCTTGACGGCAGTGATGTCCTTTATCTCCCAGTGCCTGTGCTGTAGCTGTGTGTGTGTGTGCTGACAGAGATCCTCGGAGGCCTTCAGGGCCTCCACAGCCTGAGCCTGGGCCTGGGAGTGGACCTCTGTTTCCTTAGAGAGCAGCTTCACCTGGAGAGAGGCACACACACACACACACACACACACACACCAAGTATCAGCACTATCTTACTCAGCAATTTTACCTGGGAGTAGGTAAACACACACACACACACACCTGCTCCTTACCCTGAGTTCGTGAGACAGGACCACGGCTCTCATCTCATCCATCCTCAGGTTGAACTCATGCTCTCTCTGCCTCATCTCATTATCAAAGTCTGTCATCATCTCCTGAACATGTGAGGGATAGAGAGGATGAGAATTCCTGATGAAGCTTCCAAACATCCCAGACAGACATCCCTGAAAGGTATATTTCCAGCTGACCTATTCCAGACGCCATAGACAGAGACAAAACTAGCAGACAAGCCAGCCTCATTCATCACAGCAGGTGTTAGCACCTTCTCTCCTTACCTCACAGATGTGGGTGGGGGTAATCACACACAAACACACAAATTCGCACACACACACACAGTCAGACTAACACACACACACAGTGCTGCTCAAAGGGGGGTATTCTCTCTAGAGATCGAGTGAAACAGCAAAGAGCCTGGACAACAGCCAGCAACAAAACACCCTGCTTGCCACAGAGTTTAGACTGAAATACCACACTCACACAAGTACTCTCAAAAACACACACAGAGGTTTGGCAGGCAGTTGGTATAGTATTTTATAAGGATCCCCATTAGATGCCAAGGCAGCAGATACTCTTCCTGGGGTCCAAACAGAGATAAAACATTACATCAAACAAAACATTGTGCATTACACAAAGTTACATTGCTCCATTATTACATAATAATAAATGTGTGTGTGTCTCTTCACAGTCCACGTTGTTCTGTGAGGTGTCGTTTATCTTTTTTTTTTTTTTACTGCTAGCTTGAGTTATCTGAGGTGGAAGAGTTCCATGTAGTCATGGCTCTATATAGTACTGTGCGTTTCCTAGCCTCTGTTCTGGACTTAGGGACTGTGAAGAGACCTCTGGAGGCATGTCTTGTGGGGTATGTATGACTGTCTGAGCTGTGTGTTAACTGATTGAGCAGACAGTTCGGTACTTTTAACATGTCAATACCTATCACAAAGACCAGTAGTGATGCAGTCAATCGCTCCTCTACTTATGCATGTTGTTGAAATTAGCCCTCCTTGTACATTGCTCTGACGTTGCTCTGTTCTGAGCCAACTGTAATTTGCCTATGTCCTTCTTTGCAGCATTTGGCCACGTCAGCTTACAATCTAGGGTTACACCAAGCAGTTTCGTTTCGTCAACTTGGTCAATCGCCACATTATTCATTACTATATTTAGATGAGGTTTAGGGTTTAACTAATGATTTGTCCCAAATACAATGCTTTTTTATATATTTAGTTCTAGCTTGTTACTAGCAACCCATTCTAAAACTGACTACAGCCTTTTGTTAAGGGTTGCAGTGATTTCACTTCCTGTGGTAGCTGACGAGTATAATGTTGAGTCATCTGCATACATAGACACACACAGGCTTTATTCAATGCTAGTAGGTCAATAGGTTAAGGGTGAGCTAAAGGGTAGAGCTGCCGCTTTCAAGGAACGGGACTCTAACCCGGACGCTTATAAGAAATCCCGCTATGACCTCCGACGAACCATCAAACAGGCAAAGAGTCAATACAGGTCTAAGATTGAATCGTACTACACTGGCTCTGACGCTCGTCGGATGTGGCAGGGCTTGAAAACTATTACAGACTACAAAGGGAAGCACAGCCGCGAGCTACCCAGTGACACAAACCTACCAGACGAGCTAAACCACTTCTATGCTCGCTTCGAGGCAAGCAACACTGAAGCATGTATGAGAGCACCAGCTGTTCCGGATGACTATGTGATCACGCTCTCCGTAGCCGATGTGAGTAAGACTTTTAAGCAGGTCAACATTCACAAGGCCGCAGGGCCAGACGGATTACCAGGACGTGTACTCCGAGCATGTGCTGACCAACTGGCAAGTGTCTTCACTGACATTTTCAACATGTCCCTGACTGAGTCTGTAATACCAACATGTTTCAAGCAGACCACCATAGTCCCAGTGCCCAAGGACTCTAAGATAACCTGCCTAAATGACTACCGACCCGTAGCACTGACGTCTGTAGCCATGAAGTGCTTTGAAAGGCTGGTCATGGCTCACATCAACAGCATTATCCCTGAAACCCTAGACCCACTCCAATTTGCATACCGCCCCAACAGATCCACAGATGATGCAATCTCTATTGCACTCCACACTGCCCTTTCCCACCTGGACAAGAGGAACACCTACGTGAGAATGCTATTCATTGACTACAGCTCAGCATTCAACACCATAGTGCCCTTTAAGCTCATCATTAAGCTAAGGATCCTGGGACTAAACACCTCCCTCTGCAACTGGATCCTGGACTTCCTGACGGGCCGCCCCCAGGTGGTAAGGGTAGGTAACAACACATCTGCCACACTGATCCTCAACACGGGGGCCCCTCAGGGGTGCGTGCTCAGTCCCCTCCTGTACTCTCTGTTCACCCATGACTGCATGGCCAGGCACGACTCCAACACCATCATTAAGTTTGCCGACGACACAACAGTGGTAGGCCTGATCACCGACAACGATGAGAGAGCCTATAGGGAGGAGGTCAGAGATCTGGCCGTGTGGTGCCAGGACAACAACCTCTCCCTCAACGTGACCAAGACAAAGGAGATGATTGTGGACTACAGGAAAAAAAAGAGGACTGAGCACGCCCCCATTCTCATCGACGGGGCTGTAGTGGAACAGGTTGAGAGCTTCAAGTTCCTTGGTGTCCACATCACCAACGAACTATCATGGTCCAAACACACCAAGACAGTCGTGAAGAGGGCACGACAAAGCCTATTCCCCCTCAGGAGACTAAAAAGATTTGGCATGGGTCCTCAGATCCTCAAAAAATTATACAGCTGCACCATCGAGAGCATCCTGACTGGTTGCATCACCGCCTGGTATGGCAACTGCTTGGCCTCCGACCGCAAGGCACTACAGAGGGTAGTGCGTACGGCCCAGTACATCACTGGGGCAAAGCTTCCTGCCATCCAGGACCTCTATACCAGGCGGTGTCAGAGGAAGGCCCTCAAAATTGTCAAAGACTCCAGCCACCCTAGTCATAGACTGTTCTCTCTGCTACCGCACGGCAAGCGGTACCGGAGTGCCAAGTCTAGGTCCAAAAGACTTCTCAACAGCTTCTACCCCCAAACCATAAGACTCCTGAACAGCTAATCATGGCTACCCAGACTATTTGCACTGCCCCCCCACCCCATCCTTTTTACGCTGCTGCTACTCTGTTAAGTATTTATGCATAGTCACTTTAACTCTACCCACATGTACATATTACCTCAACTACCTCAACTAGCCGGTGCCCCCGCACATTGACTCTGCAACGGTACCCCCCTGTATATATAGCCTCCCTACTGTCACTTTATTTTACTTCTGCTCTTTTTTTTCTCAACACTTTTTTTGTTGTTGTTTTATTTTTACTTTTTTGTTTAAAATAAATGCACTGTTGGTTAAGGGCTGTAAGTAAGCATTTCACTGTAATGTCTGCACCTGTTGTATTCGGCGCATGTGACCAATAAAATTTGATTTGATTTGATTTGAATAGTAAAAAATGTAGAACAGTAGAGGGCCGAGTCAGCTGTCTTGTGGAACACCACACTCTACCTGGTTTATGTTAGAGAAGGTTCCATTAAAGAAAACACTGACTGTGTTCTATTAGATAGGTAGCTCTCAATCCACAATATGGCAGAGGATGCAAAGCCATAACACATGTTTTTTCAGCAACAGATTATGATCATTAATATCAAAAGCTGCGCTGAAGTCTAGCAATACAGCTCCCACACACAGCATTCACAAACACATGCTAACACTGCCTTGGCAGCCACTAATGCGGATCCGTAATAAATACAAATACACAATCTTATTATTATTATCATTTTCAGCCAATCATCAGTCATTTGTGTCATTGCCGTACATGTTGAGTGCCCATCCCTATAAGCATGCTGAAAGTCTGTTGTTAATCTGTTTACAGTAAAATAACACTGTATCTGGTCAAACACCATTTTTCCCAAAAGTTTACTAAGGGCCGGTAGTAATTTACTATTTTAATTAGGGTAGATTAACTGCTTTTATGACTAGACTGTAATTGTAAAGATATCTCCCCTCTGGCTGATCTGGTTTAAATGTCTTGTCTGCATGTGGTTTCCACAGGGAAAGGTGACTCTTCTATTAAAATTAGAGAGCGGCCTACCACTGCACCCTCCCACTTCCCTTGCCATGTGGGTGTGTACCTGCTTCTGTAGAGCCAGCTCTCCCTCCACCTCCTGGACCCTGCGTTGGAGATCACGTCTCATCCCTTCATACTCCTCTCTCTGCTTCTGAAGGTCACCAGCCTGACCGCTGAGTCACAGAAAGATGACACACACACAGTCACACACCAGATCCTGAAGCCATCATGACATTGTCAAATACACACACACACACACCGGATGCAAAAGCCATCATGGCATCAGAAAATAAACAGACACCAGTCACTGAAACCACCATGAGACTAGATTACCTCTCAAAGTTGAGAACACGGAGGAACCATGGAGCGAGCTTTAACATATTTCAGGCTAAGTGTTTAGTCATTCAGCAGACGCTCTTATCCAGAGCGACTTAAGAGTAGTGATTGCATACATTCTAATACTTATTTCGTACTGGTCCCCTGTGGGAATCGAACACACAACCCTGGAGTTGCAAGTGCCATGCTTTACCAACTGAGCTTAACTGGAACAGAGTATACAGCAGAGCCACATACTGTAGTGAAACAATAGTGAAAGCTTAATAATAATTAGACTAACATACAGCCTACAGTATAAACCTTGCCCTAAAGGCCATATACAGTGCCTTCAGAAAGCATTCACACCCATTTACTTTTTCCACATTTTGTTGTGTTACAGCCTGAATTTAAAATTGATTACAGCAGCTACTGTAGACACATGTTATGTAGAGGTACAGTTAGCTGTTGTAGACACATGTTATGTAGGGGTACAGTTAGCTGTTGTAGATACATGTTATGTAGGGGTACAGTTAGCTGTTGTAGATACAGTGAGGGAAAAAAGTATTTGATCCCTTGCTGATTTTGTACGTTTGCCCACTGACAAAGAAATGATCAGTCTATAATTTTAATGGTAGGTTTATTTGAACAGTTAGAGACAGAATAACAACAACAAAATCCAGAAAAACACATGTCAAAAATGTTATCAATTGATTTGCATTTTAATGAGGGAAATAAGTATTTGACCCCCTCTCAATCAGAAAGATTTCAGGCTCCCAGGTGTCTTTTATACAGGTAACGAGCTGAGATTAGGAGCACACTCTTAAAGGGAGTGCTCCTAATCTCAGTTTGTTACCTGTATAAAAGACACCTGTCCACAGAAGCAATCAATCAATCCGATTCCAAACTCTCCACCATGGCCAAGACCAAAGAGCTCTCCAAGGATGTCAGGGACAAGATTGTAGACCTACACAAGGCTGGAATGGGCTACAAGACCATCGGCAAGCAGCTTGGTGAGAAGGTGACAACAGTTGGTGCGATTATTCGCAAATGGAAGAAACACGAAATAACTGTCAATCTCCCTCGGCCTGGGGCTCCATGCAAGATCTCACCTCGTGGAGTTGCAATGATCATGAGAACGGTGAGGAATCAGCACAGAACTACACGGGAGGATCTTGTCAATGATCTCAAAGCAGCTGGGACCATAGTCACCAAGAAAACAATTGGTAACACACTACGCCGTGAAGGACTGAAATCCTGCAGCGCCCGCAAGGTCCCCCTGCTCAAGAAAGCACATATACAGGCCCGTCTGAAGTTTGCCAATGAACATCTGAATGATTCCGAGGAGAACTGGGTGAAAGTGTTGTGGTCAGATGAGACCAAAATCGAGCTCTTTGGCATCAACTCAACTCGCTGTGTTTGGAGGAGGAGGAATGCTGCCTATGACCTCAAGAACACCATCCCCACCATCAAACATGGAGGTTGAAACATTTGGGGGTGTTTTTCTGCTAAGGGGACAGGACAACTTCACCACATCAAAGGGACGATGGACGGGGCCATGTACCGTCAAATCTTGGGTGAGAACCTCCTTCCCTCAGCCAGGGCATTGAAAATGGGTAGTGGATGGGTATTCCAGCATGACAATGACCCAAAACACACGGCCAAGGCAACAAAGGAGTGGCTCAAGAAGAAGCACATTAAGGTCCTGGATTGGCCTAGCCAGTCTCCAGACCTTAATCCCATAGAAAGTCTGTGGAGGGAGCTGAATGTTCGAGTTGCCAAACGTCAGGCTCGAAACCTTAATGACTTGGAGAAGATCTGCAAAGAGGAGTGGGACAAAATCCCTCCTGAGATGTGTGCAAACCTGGTGGCCAACTACAAGAAACATCTGACCTCTGTGATTGCCAACAACGGTTTTGCCACCAAGTGCTAAGTCATGTTTTGCAGAGGGGTCAAATACTTATTTCCCTCATTAAAATGCAAATCAATTGCTAACATTTTTGACATGCGTTTTTCTGGATTTTTTTGTTGTTATTCTGTCTCTCGCTGTTCAAATAAACCTACCATTAAAATTATAGACTGATCATGTCTTTGTCAGTGGGCAAACGTATAAAATCAGCAGGGGATCAAATACTTTTTTCACTCACTGTACATGTTATGTAGGGGTACAGTTAGCTGCTGTAGATACATGTTATGTAGGGGTACAGTTAGCTGCTGTAGATACATGTTATGTAGGGGTACAGTTAGCTGTTGTAGATACATGTTATGTAGGGGTACAGTTAGCTGTTGTAGATACATGTTATGTAGGGGTACAGTTAGCTGTTGTAGATACATGTTATGTAGGGGTACAGTTAGCTGTTGTAGATACATGTTATGTAGGGTTACAGCAGCTACTGTAGATACATGTTATGTAGGGGTACAGTTAGCTGTTGTAGATACATGTTATGTAGGGATACAGTTAGCTGTTGTAGATACATGTTATGTAGGAGTACAGTTAGCTGTTGTAGATACATGTTATGTAGGGTTACAGCAGCTACTGTAGATACATGTTATGTAGGGGTACAGTTAGCTGTTGTAGATACATGTTATGTAGGGGTACAGTTAGCTGTTGTAGATACATGTTATGTAGGGTTACAGCAGCTACTGTAGATACATGTTATGTAGGGGTACAGTTAGCTGTTGTAGATACATGTTATGTAGGGGTACAGTTAGCTGTTGTAGATACATGTTATGTAGGGGTACAGTTAGCTACTGTACTCAGTTGGTAGTATGAAAATGTATGCACTCACTAACTGTAAGTCGCTCTGGATAAGAGCGTCTACTAAATGACTAAAATGTAAAATGTAAATTAAATTGAGATTTTTGGTCTCTGGCTTACACACAACACCCCAAAATGTCAAAGTGGAATTATGTTTTTAATTACAAATGAAAAGCTGAAATGTCTTGAGTCCATAAGTATTCAACCCCTTTGTCCTCCTCCCAGAGTGCAAAGAACCTTGGCGTGACCCTGGACAACACCCTGTCGTTCTCTGCTAACATCAAAGCGGTGACCCGATCCTGCAGGTTCATGCTCTACAACATTCGCAGAGTACGACCCTACCTTACACAGAAAGTTGCACAGGTCTTAATCCAGGCACTTGTCATCTCCCGTCTGGATTACTGCAACTCGCTGTTGGCTGGGCTCCCTGCCTGTGCCATTAAACCCCTACAACTTATCCAGAACGCTGCAGCCCGTCTGGTGTTCAACCTTCCCAAGTTCTCTCATGTCACCCCGCTCCTCCGCACACTCCACTGGCTTCCAGTTGAGGCTCGCATCTACTACAAGACCATGGTGCTTGCCTTCGGAGCTGTGAGGGGAACGGCACCTCCTTACCTTCAGGCTCTGATCAGACCCTACACCCAAACGAGGGCACTACGTTCATCCACCTCTGGCCTGCTAGCCCCCCTACCTCTATAGAAGCACAGTTCCCGCTCAGCCCAGTCAAAGCTATTCGCTGCTCTGGCACCCCAATGGAGGAACAAGCTCCCCCACGACGCCAGGACAGTGGAGTCACTGACCACCTTCCGGAGACACTTGAAACCCTCTTTAAGGAATACCTGGAATAGTATAAAAGTAATCATTCTACCCACCCCTCCCCCACCCCCATAAACATAAATGTAAAAAAAGTTGTTGTCCCACTGGCGATCATAAGTTGAATGCACCAATTTGTAAGTCGCTAAATAAGTTCAGGCTAAAAATGTACTTAACAAGTCACATAATAAGTTGCATGGACTCACTCTGTGTGCAATAATAGTGTTTAACATGATTTTTTCGAATGACTACCTCATCTCTGTACCCCACACATACAATTATCTGTAAGGTCCCTCAGTTGAACAGTGAATTTCAAACACAGATTCAACCACAAAGACCAGGGAGATTTTCCAATGCCTCGCAAAAAGGGCACCTATTGGCAGATTAAAGAAGAAAAAAAAGCAGACATTGAATGTCCCTTTGAGCATGTTGAAGTTTTTAATTACACTTTGGATGGTGTATCAATACACCCAGTCACTACAAAGATACAGGCGTCCTTCCTAACTCAGTTGCCAGAGAAGAAGGAAACCGCTCAGGGATTTCACTATGAGGCCAATGGTGACTTTAAAACAGTTACAGAGTTTAATGGCTGTAATAGGAGAAAACTGAGGATGGAGCAACAGCATTGTAGATACTCCATATTACTATCGTAATTGACAGAGTGAAAAGAAGGAAGCCTGTACAGAATACAAAATATTCCAGCCTCCCGAGTGGCGCAGTGGTCTATGGCGTCACTACAGACCAGGGTTCGATCCCAGGCTGTGTCGCAGCCGACCGGGAGACCCATGAGGCGGCGCACAATTGGCCCAGCGTCGACTGGGTTAGGGGAGGGTTTGGCCGGCCAGGATTTCCTTGTCCCATCGCCCTCTAGCGACTCCTTGTGGTGGGCCAGGCGCATGCACGCTGACTTCGGTCGCCAGTTGTACGTGTTTCCTCCGACACATTGGTGCGGCTGGCTTTTGAGCAGTGTGTCAAGAAGCAGTGCAGCTTGGCGGGGTCGTGTTTCGGAGGACGCATGGCTCTCGACCTTCGCCTCTCCTGAGTCCGTACGGGAGTTGCAGCGATGGGACAAGACTGTAACTACCAATTGGATGTCATGTATAAATATTCCAAAACATCCATCCTGTTTGCAATAAGGCACTAAAGTAAAACTTTGCAAAAAATTTAACTTTTTGTTCTGAATACAAAGTGTTATGTTTGGGGCAAATACAACACATCACTGAGTTCCACTCTTCATATTTTCAAGAATGGTGGTGGATGCATCATGTTATTGGTATGCTTGTCATCGGCAAGGAATAGGGAGTTTTTTTATGATAAAAAGAAACTGAATAGAGCCAAGCACAGGCAAAATCCTAGAGGAAAACCTGGTCCACTCGGCATTCCAACAGAGACTGGGAGACAAATTCACCTTTCAGCACAACAATAATCTAAAACACATGGCCAAATATACCAAGACGACATTGAATGTTCCTTAGTGACCTAGTTACAGTTTTGACTTAAATCTGCTTGAAAATCTATGTCAAGACTTGAAAATGGCTGTCTAGCAATGATCAACAACCAACTTGACAGAGCTTAAAGAATAATGTGCAAATATTGTACAATCCAGGTGTGCAAAGCTCTTATAATAATAATATAATAATAATAATAAGCCATTTAGCAGACGCTTTTATCCAAAGCGACTTACAGTCATGCGTGCATACATTTTTGTGTATGGGTGGTCCCGGGGATCGAACCCACTACCTTGGCGTTACAAGCGCCGTGCTCTACCAGCTGAGCTACAGAGGACCACAGGACCCTTATAGACTTACCCAGCAAGACTCACAGCTGTAATCACTCCCAAAGGTGATTCTAACATGTATTGACTCAGGGTTGTGAATACTTATGTAAATTAGATATTTTTCTAAAAACATGTTTCACTTTGTCATTATGGGGTATTATGTCTAGATGGGTGAGAAAAACATCACTTTAATCAAATTTGAATTCAGGCTGTAACACAACAAAATGTGGAATAAGTCAAGGGGTATGAATACTTTCTGAAGGCACTGTAAATCCGCATGCGAGTTCCCTACTGGGTCCTCCTGTCTAAATATAACCCATACAGATGGGCCTGGTGAGTCACATTGGGGTTAAATGTGGGGCTGGGGCATCATGTAATGAGTACAACAATGTAATGAGTGACAATTACTGGGAAACAGTGAGGAGGGAAAAGAAGCCCCCCCCAAGAGCTTTGTTAGTGTGAGTATTTTGAATTTGAATAAAATTGCACTGAATTAGGGCAACCATCCCACCTGCACCCCACTCCACTGCCCTTAACCCCACCCCACTCACCTCTGGAGCCTCTCCAGCTGCAGCCTGTGTTCGGCAGCTCTCTGCTGGCTGCGTCTCACCTCCCTTGCCTCGCTCTCCCTCTCCTCCTGCAGCTTGGCTATCTGGATGCGTAACTGACTCAATTCCTCCTGCCTTCAATAAGGAAAGTCACATGTTAAAGCTAGAATAGTCCTCTCAGTGACAATAGTCAATGTATTCCAGGGAGTCATGGGATACATAACAAATAATACATTACTCTCTCTCGCTCTCACTCACAATGTAAAACGGGCTTTATAAAATACGTTTGATTGAATGATTGACCTGGCAGTCTCTGTGGCCTGTGCGCGGGCAGCCATGGCGTCATATCTCTCCAGCTCTCTGTCTCTCTCCTCCAGCACGGCCAGGTTAAAGCGGAAGTCCTCCCTGAGCTGCTGGAAGCGTTGCCTGAGGAGAGAGAGATGTTCCTGGGCATCACGGAGGGACTTCTCCTGCTGCTGAACCCGTAGGGTCTGGAGCTCCTTCCACTCTTTCTCCTTACTGGCTAACTGGGCGTCCAGGTCTGCTCCATCATTAGCCTGCATGGCTAGAGAACACATACACATCAAAGTCTAGCGGTCAATGCACCACTGCAACATGAAAACACATTAACGTTACATGACACATCTCTCACACACACACACAAAGAGAGACAGACAGATAGTTACACATTTCCGAGAGATGAAAGCTGCCAGCAACAAGCAGACGTTGCTAGCTAGGTAACGTTAGCTTGTAGCTGACGTTAGCTAACGTTACATTACCGTTAGAATGGCTAATCTAGCAGCTGGTTTGCTAACGTACCTCGACAGCATGCAACTAACTAATGTCGCTCTTAGACTAAAGAGTTGTTTAGCTATAGATGTATTACCGTTTGCGTTCAACACTTTGTTTAAACGCTAACTTGAGTTCTCCCGCTTTCTTCTGTGGGTTGGCATGTTTCTATGGAAACCCCAGCATTATCAGTCTGTGTAATTCGTCCGTGTAGAAAATGTGTTTGTGAAGAACGAAAAGTACAGTACCGCCCACAATGACGAACAAAAAATAGCAAAATGTTATAATAAAAAAGTATAATAATATACAAACTTGTTAAGGTCTTTAATGGGTTCAGAATACTTCATCAAATAGCTGATATGGCCCTCTTTTATGCACGCACATGAGAAAACATGATGTTGATTGCTGTGTAATGTAATTTATTGTTATAAAAACTGTATACAAAGCATTCACCATATGGATACTTGGATAGAGATAGAGACTGATTAAACGAGGTTCCTCATTGACAGCCAGCCAGAGAAGTTATGTGCTGCTGCCATGCAGAGAGACAAAATAAGCTGATGACAGAGGTAACCAATACACCTGCCTGGAACTCACCTTTACTCACCTGGCACCACTCACCTGACCTACTCTACCTGCCTTTGGTCACATGCGTCATCATGACTACACTACCGGTCAAAAGTTTTAGAACACCTACTCATTCAAGGGATTTTCTTTATTTTTACTATTTTCTACATTGTAGAATAATAGTGAAGACATCAAAACTATGAAATAACACATGGAATCATGTAGTAACCAAAAAAGTGTTAAACAAATCAAAATATATTTTATATTTGAGATTCTTCAAAGTAGCCACCCTTTGCCTTGATGACAGCTTTGCACACTCTTGGCATTCTCTCAACCAGCTTCATGAGGTAGTCACCTGGGATGCATTTCAATTATCAGGTGTGCCTTCTTAAAAGTTAATTTGTGGAATTTCTTTCCTTCTTAATGCGTTTGAGCCAATCAGTTGTGTTGTGACAAGGTAGCGGGGTATACAGAAGATAGCCCTATTTGGTAAAAGACCAAGTCCATATTATGGCAAGAACAGCTCAAATAAGCAAAGAGAAACGACAGTCCATCATTACTGTAAGACATGAAGGTCAGTCAATACGAAACATTTAAATAACTTTTAACGTTTCTTCAAATGCAGTCGCAAAAACCATCAAGCGCTATGATAAAACTGGCTCTCATGAGGTCCGCCACAGGAATGGAAGACCCAGAGTTACCGCTGCTGCAGGGGATAAGTTCATTAGAGTTACCAGCCTCGTAAATTGCAGCCAAAATAAATGCTTCACAGAGTTCAAGTAACTGACACATCTCAACATCAACTGTTCAGAGGAGACTGTGTGAATCAGGCCTTCATGGTCTAATTGCTGCAAAGAAACCACTACTAAAGGACACCAATAATAAGAAGAGACTTGCTTGGGCCAAGAAACACGAGCAATGGACATTAGACCGGTGGAAATGTGTCCTTTGGTCTGGAGTCCAAATGTGAGATTTTTGGTTCCAATCGCCATGTCTTTGTGAGACGTGGTGTGGGTGAACGGATGATCTGCGCATGTGTAGTTCCCACCGTAAAGCATGGAGGAGGAGGTTTTATGGTGTGGGGGTGCTTTGCTGGTGACACTGTCTGTGATTTATTTAGAATTCAAGGCACACTAAATCAGCATGGCTACCATAGCATTCTGCAGTGATACGCCATCCCATCTGGTTTGGACTTAGTGGGACTATCATTTGTTTTTCAACAGGACAATGGCCCAACACACCTCCAAGCTGTGTAAGGGCTATTTTACCAAGAAGGCAAGTGATGGAGTGCTGCATCAGATGACCTGGCCTCCACAATCCCCCAACCTCAACCAAATTGAGATGGTTTGGGATGAGTCGGACCGCAGAGTGAAGGAAAAGTAGCCAACAAGTGCTCAGCATATGTGGGAACTCATTCAAGACTGTTGGAAAAGCATTCCAGGTGACGCTGATTGAGAGAATGCCAAGAGTGTGCAAAGCTGTCATCAAGGCAAAGGGTGGCTACTTTGAAGAATCTCAAATATAAAATATATTTTGATTTGTTTAACACTTTTTTGGTTACTACATGATTCCATATGTGTTATTTCATAGTTTCGATGTCTTCACTATTATTCTACATTGTAGACAATAGTAAAATAAAGAAAAACCCTTGAATGAGTAGGTGTTCTAAAACTTTTGACCGGTAGTGTACACCTCTTCCTCCAAACAGATCTCTCTCTCTCTCTCTCTCTCTCTCTCTCTCTCTCTCTCTCTCTCTCTCTCTCTCTCTCTCTCTCTCTCTCTCTCTCTCTCTCTCTCTCTCTCACACTCACACACACATAATACTAGAAAGTGTTGACTTAAAGTAAGAAATAGTGGGCTCTCTCACACACACACTTACCCACCTGCTCAGTCTTTTGGTGGGTGCGCCTTGCCTGTGGAAACATGTCTTCTGACAGAAATCAGAATTCAAGAGAAATATATCACTGAAACCAGTTATATCATTTATATAACTGGTTACATAGTCCTGAGGGCAGGACCGTACTAAAGCTGATATCACATGCATGCAATCATACTAAACAATAGTACAAAAACCTCATCCACTGCTCATCTCTTCTGGCATACTACCAAGCATACTACCACGGAAGTGGTCAGATGACGCAGATGCTAAGCTACAGGACTGTTTTGCTAGCACAGACTGGAATATGTTCCGGGATTCTTCCGATGGCATTGAGGATTACCAGGACGTGTACTCCGAGTATGCGCTGACCAACTGGCAAGTGTCTTCACTGACATTTTCAACCTGTCCCTGACTGAGTCTGTAATACCAACATATTTCAAGCAGACCACCATAGTCTGCTCAAAACTTGAGACATCTGTGGCATTGTATTGTATGACAAAACTGCACATTTTAGAGTAGCCTTTTATTGTCCCCAGCACTAGGTGCACCTGTGTAATAATCCGCTTCTTTATATGCCACACCTGTCAGGTGGATGGATTATCTTGGCAAAGGAGAAATACTCACTAACAGGGATTTAAACAAATTTGTGCACAATATTTGAGAGAATTAAGCTTTTTGTGCGGATATTTTATTTCAGCTCATGTTGCATTTATATATTTTTTCAATATGTATATACATATGTATAAATATATTTATAATCAGGCTTTTGACATTGCTCATTCTGATATTTCTTAAATTAAGAAAAAATAAGGATTTTGTGTGTATTATTATTATTTGTATTGTTTTTGCTAGGTAGGCTTTTCCTGCACTGTTGGAGCTAGAAACACAAGCATTTTTGATTCACCTGAGATAACATCTGCAAATATGTGTACACAACCAATAAACTTTGATTTGATTTAAAATGTTGGATTACAAAATTTAAAAAGTTTGACTGCAGAATGTATTATCCCGTATTGATGCAATAGTGCTGTCAGTCTGATCGAGGCGTGAGCAGGAGCTGCGTAGGCAGCAGAGTGGGCAGTAGCTACATAAAACAAAGATAATAATAATACACCTTTTTTTAAAGTGAATGCGCAGAAATCTTTTTCCGACTAGCACGTGAACGCTGCAAAATGCCGCATTCAAAACAACTGGGAACTCGAAAATCTGCGACTTCCGACCTCAGTGTATTCATAACAACTGGGAACTCGGAAAAAAAACGAGTGCCGACTGGGGAAATTATATTTTAACGGTCATCCAACTCGGAATTCCAACTCGGGAACTCAGGCTTCTTTCTAGAGCTCCGACTTTCCGATTTGAAGATCACTGACGTCATGATTTGATCTCGTATTTTTCCGAGTTCCCAGTTGTTTTGAACGCGGCATTAGCCACGGCAAATGGGTTTCCAGTAAATCCGGAACCTGAAATAAATACGCCACGAGAAGGAGGCGTGAACGCATGTTCCAGTCCCGAAGACGCTACAGAGAAAGCTTCGTCAGGTAAGAACAACCCTGATCAATAGGTTATTTTTTAAACATTGGCATTAATAAAGTTTCATACCCGTTGATATTTTTGGTAGACAGCTGTAATTTAAGCACCTATTTGTCAAACTCTCATAGGATAATGCTGCTTGTACAGTAGCCTACCTCTTGTTGGGCGTGCGAGATCAAATGCCCCTATGCGTGGTCTCAATTAAATAGACTGTCGGCTATATGCATAGACTATATGGCAGAGAAGCACGGCGCAGTTGTCTTTAGCTTCCTATATGATAGGCTATGGAAATGAATATTGATAACACATGTATTTTACTTTGCTTACAAATTGGCCTGCTCCTAAAAGTTATGCAAAATGTAGCTCAAGTAAGTGTCGACTCTATATTATGCCCCAACTGCACTTTCAAACTGTCAACCCTATTGGCTGATATCGCTCAATATTACTGATAGCCAATATAATGGGTCACGTGAGAATCTCTGGAATTCTTAGGCCATTTGTGTGCATTTTGATCTTAACTAGGGTGGCAAAATTGCTGGGAACGGGGTACCCCTTGCTCATGACGCTCAGTTCCATTACATTACACATACAGTGAGGGGAAAAAAGTATTTGATCCCCTGCTGATTTTGTACGTTTGCCCACTGACAAAGACATGATCAGTCTATTTTAATGGTAGGTTTATTTGAACAGTGAGAGACAGAATATCAACAAAAAAATCCAGAAAAACGCATGTCAAAAATGTTATAAATGGATTTGCATTTTAATGAGGGAAATACGTATTTGACCCCTCTGCAAAACATGACTTAGTACTTGGTGGCAAAACCCTTGTTGGCAATCACAGAGGTCAGACGTTTCTTGTAGTTGGCCACCAGGTTTGCACACATCTCAGGAGGGATTTTGTCCCACTCCTCTTTGCAGATCTTCTCCGAGTCATTAAGGTTTCGAGCCTGACGTTTGGCAACTTGAACCTTCAGCTCCCGCCACAGATTTTCTATGGGATTAAGGTCTGGAGACTGGCTAGGCCACTCCAGGACCTTAATGTGCTTCTTCTTGAGCCACTCCTTTGTTGCCTTGGCCGTGTGTTTTGGGTCATTGTCATGCTGGAATACCCATCCTTTGTTGCCTTGGCCGTGTGTTTTGGGTCATTGTCATGCTGGAATACCCATCCACGACCCATTTTCAATGCCCTGGCTGAGGGAAGGAGGTTCTCACCCAAGATCTGACGGTACATGGCACCGTCCATCATCCCTTTGATACGGTGAAGTTGTCCTGTCCCCTTAGAAGAAAAACACCCCCAAAGCGTAATGTTTCCACCTCCATGTTTGACAGTGGGAATGGTGTTCTTGGGGTCATAGGCAGCATTCCTCCTCCAAACACGGCGAGTTGAGTTGATGCCAAAGAGCTCGATTTTGGTCTCATCTGACCACAACACTTTCACCCAGTTCTCCTCTGAATCATTCAGATGTTCATTGGCAAACTTCAGACGGGCCTGTATATGTGCTTTCTTGAGCAGGGGGACCTTGCGGGTGCTGCGGGATTTCAGTCCTTCACGGCGTAGTGTGCCGCCATGAGATCATTGACAAGATCCTCCCGTGTAGTTCTGGGCTGATTCCTCACCATTCTCATGATCATTGCAACTCCATGAGGTGAGATCTTACATGGAGCCCTAGGCCGAGGGAGATTGACAGGTCTTTTGTGTTTCTTCCATTTGCGAATAATCGCACCAACTGTTGTCACCTTCTCACCAAGCTGCTTGGCGATGGTCTTGTAGCCCATTCCAGCCTTGTGTAGGTCTACAATCTTGTCCCTGACATCCTTGGAGAGCTCTTTGGTCTTGGCCATGGTGGAGAGTTTGGAATCGGATTGATTGATTGCTTCTGTGGACAGGTGTCTTTTATACAGGTAACAAGCTGAGATTAGGAGCACTCCCTTTAAGAGTGTGCTCCTAATCTCAGCTCGTTACCTGTATAAAAGACACCTGGGAGCCAGAAATCTTTCTGATTGAGAGGGGGTCAAATACTTATTTCCCTCATTAAAATGCAAATCAATTTATAATATTTTTGACATGCGTTTTTCTGGATTTTTAAAATTATTATTCTGTCTCTCACTGTTCAAATAAACCTACCATAAAAATTATAGACTGATAATTTCTTTGTCAGTGGGCAAATGTACAAAATCAGCAGGGGATCAAATACTTTTTTCCCTCACTGTAAGTCATTGGACGGCAGGTAGCTTAGTGGTTAAGAGCGTTGTGCCAGTAACCGAAAGGTCGCTGGTTCTAATCCCCGAGCCGACTAGGTGAAAAATCTGTCGATGTGCCCTTGAGCAAGGCACTTAGCCCTAATTGCTCCTGTAAGTCACTCTGGATAAGAGCGTCTGCTAAATGACTAAAATGTAAATGTAATTGGAAGAAGGCATCTTCTATGCAGGGGAGTTTTGTTAAGAGCCCTGATGCTCAAATCTGAACGCTGCTTGCAGTACGGTTTTGGAAGCATAAGGACCTCCTTAGCTTTCATATCAGCGAGAAATGATAATAAAAATAAAAAGATACACACCATGTTAGGGTTAATGTTCCCACATGGCCATATCTCAAAGTGCTAATTAGTTAACTAACATGCGCCGAACACCTGTGTGTAAGCTTTAAATCAGGAAGTGTAGCAGAAATGTAGTTTCGTAGGATGGAGGCACCCATAGCTGTATGGATCTGTGCAACACTTACTGTAGCAGTTTCTTTCTTATTTGAATAATTATTTCTAGTTGATGAAAGATATGGGCCAAACGTTAACACATTGTTGGGATTGTAGTTCACATGAGGTAGTCGTGGGCAAAGCTAATGGCTGAAAACTGTAGGGAGAAGGTAGAATGCCGCGTAGAGTTTGAGAGTAGAACTGTGTTGTTATTGCAACTCCCTTGCTGTTAGCTATCTTTGAAAATAACTTGTGTGTGTGAAACATTTGTTGCATTTAAACTTTAGATCACTGGTTACTTTGCTGGACGGGAACATTATGTTTGCAATGAGAAGTAATAGTTGTACATTTCGATTGGGAAGTGCTTAGCCTAATGGTTGTGTTTTTGTAATATAATGTGTTTTTGTAATATAATGATTTGGAACCTACTGGCTTATGTCCAGGTCAATAGGCTGCTTATCCTTTAACACCATGGTGTGTGTGTGACTGCTGACTTTCTATCGGCTCTATTCAGTTGGGTGCATTAAGGAATGCCATGTTTCTGTAATAACAGTATAGTCGTTTAGAACAGTTCCCAAGGCTTTTCCTGTCCCAGACTGTTTGTGCTATAGTGTTGGTGTAGAGGGGAAAGATGTAGCCTGTGACACAACCTGGCTGGTCCCACTGGTTCTTTAGCCTTGAATATCCTGAGCAGACCTCTGTAGTCTGCCATAGCCAATTAGTGGTCTACGAGGATCAGAGCCACAGGTGTGTGAGTGTGTGTGTGTTTGCAAATGTGTTGTGTGTCAGTTTGGGCAGGCAGAAGTCCTAGCAGGAAAGCATTCCCTGTTGATGCAGTGGGATGTCCAATCCAAATGGACACTTAGCCTTCTAGGCAGTGGAGAGGTGTGAGCAACACGGTATCAGTGCACCCCTCTTCCCTAAAGGTCTGAATGTTTCCTGCATGTACGGCATGGCCTGTTATCCACAGAGAAAGGTGTGTGCAGCCTTGTGTCAACTGATAAAAGCCATTTATGCTTGATCCGAAAATGTGGTCTGAGGCGCCGTATGGAGGGTGTGACGCAATTGCGTAGCCTCCGGAGGCATGCAGAGGCCAGATTGAGCTCCGTGCCTTACGCCGCCAAAATTTGGTAACAATGCGGAGGGCTCCGTATCGCTCTGCATATCGCTCCGCATATCGCTCCGCATTGACATGATTGGTTGACGGTGGGAGCGGGTGGTCCAGTATAAACACAAACTGACTTCCTTGGTAACTTCCTTCACAACAGCTCTGTCCTGCTCAGCGACGTGCAAGAAGTATAAATGCCCTGACTTCTGCAGAGGCCATATCGCAGTAATGCTGTATGGCCACTGCAGACGTCGGATTGACCATGCAGAGCCTTTGTGTCAGTCAGTCTGATAAGCTTTTGCAAAAAGATATGCATTAGGAGACGTGACGCATAAGTCAATACTTTGCATGCAATGCTAAAAGATAAGCGTCAAGTTATTGTCTGTCTGAGTCTTTCAACAATTTACCCATTGCAGCTTTATCACCACCTTTTTTGCTGGGTGTCCGTCCGTCCTGGGATGGAAAATGTCAGGGTCTTATTTTAGGAGGGCTGATAGTAGGGTGCTTGCTGAATGCTGCATTGTGTGTGAGGGGTCGGGGCACACTGCTATAGAAGGGTGGGGCAAGTGGAGAAGTATGTATGTTTGCCTGTTGGTTGGGAGCCAGGCGGCTACACGTGACACTGGAGTAGTTCATACAGTAGACATGCATGCGTGCACACCTCCCGTCCCATTCAGAGAGTTAGAGCCGCATCAAGGGTAGGCACTTTGCTATAGATATAATGCTTTGAAATGTGATGTCTACTTTGACTTTTAAAATGTATTCTGCAGTGTCGCTGGCACAAAAAAAGGCTTGCTGAATGTGTTTTTAGTGGCAAGATATAATTTATTTAGATTTTTGCCAGATCTAGTCATATGTTGTAGAAAATAAAAGGTGCTCATAAAGGGTTCTTACTGCCAGTTATATGACAACTGTTCTGCACTATATGTTAATCTGACGTTGTCAGCTGTTGTAGATGCAAATCTGATCATATAACAACACTTTCTGATGTAAATGCACGATAAAGTCCATTCTGAAAAGCATCCATCAGTATTTTATATCTTCAGTGAGGAAGTACCCACTCATTCAAATGTGACATGCACATTTAGTCATTGCGCTATGACCGGACATGAGTGCACTATGACCACTCACAAGTCTCTGACAAAGGTTTGTTGACCAAAACCACTAAAATATTGTGGGGCATACAAGGACACCAGTGTGCTGTATTTTGTTTTTCACACTCACAAGTCTAAATTGTCCCAGGCTGGGCCAGTGAGTGAATTTTAACAGACCTAGAAACAAGCCCCCCCTCCTTGTCCACAACCCCACCTGAGGCCTCACACCACTACAAAATCCCCAAACGGTTCACCAGCCCTCCATATACATGCTCCAGTGTCAGCCGAGCCCTCCCCAGCAGCTCAGCTCTGGGGCCCGTACACTCCACCCCCTGCATCTCATGTTTCCTGGTCTTCCACATTGCCATTTTTGCCTGCCCTAACAGGTAATTTACTAGGCAGTCCCTTCACCTGTTGACTAAGCTTTACCTAGGCCCTCCAACGTATAGGTCCAGAGTCAGCCCCAACCCTAGGCCTGTACACCACCCACCCAGGACAGAAAACAACCCTAACAGCCTAGAACAAGAAGAAAACAGATGCTGCACTCTCTTCCCAACAGGACAGACACCCCCACCACACAGTAGCTCTCTGAACAAGCCTGGTAGTGCAGCACAGACCCGCTCCACCACCTGCTGCAGCCGCTTCGTTGACTTTATGGAGGAAGCCTCCGCCATGTTGCTGGCAGATTTCCACCCAGCCAATTCTGGCAGGTCACCCTACTTAGTGAACCCCACTCACAAGCCTGGCACGCAAGCTAGCAGAGATCAGTACAGGTCTGGATGAGTGGGTTGTGAAAGAGTGGCTCCTCCATTATCCATGCTCCTGCCTTTGAAACATCTCTGTGAACAGAGTCTTTTTCCACACCTCAAAGCACAGCGCGGTAGAACAATGTAATAGCTGACATATCGACCTGCTCCAGATCCAACAGGAGCAAGTGCCTGTTGTACCCAAGGTCCCCTGCTCTCCTCAGAACAGCCCAAACAGTGTCTCTCCAGCACACCTCCTGCTGTACAGAAGTCTCTGTGCAGCTTGTGGACGGAAAGCTTTCACTCTGGACTCAGTGTCCACCAGCCCTTGGCCCCTCTCATGCAAAGGGAGGTATAACACTTCTGCACATATCCAGTGTTGGCCAGACCAAAATAAATCCACCAGTAACCTCTGCAGTGGCTTGACGAGACTGTCCAACACCATCAGCCTGTGCCAGAGCATTGACGCGGCCAAGTTGTTAGCGACCAGGACCCTTCTCCTGAAAGACATCAGTGGCAACAAGTATTTGAGTCTTCAGATCTCAGGCAAAGTTCCTCAAAGTGTATCCCCCTCGGCATAATAACCTGAAATATGAAATATTCAAAAGATTAACAATAGATGGCAAAGTCAAGGATATGCTGGTGGTTCCATCATTGGCGATGTTGTCCCTAAATCAATGCTTATGACAAATCCAGCTCCAGAACCAAAAGGGCCAGCTGATCTTTTGAATATTTCTGGTTATTACCTGCCGAGGGGGATAACCTTTGAGGAACTTTGCCTGGTGATGGTGGCGGATGGAAGGCATGACAATGGGCCTCAGGATCTCATCCCGGTATCTCTGTGCATTAAAATTGCCATCGATAAAATGCAATTGTGTTCGTTGTCCGTAGCTTATGCCTGCCCATACCATAACCCCACCGCCACCATGGGGCACTCTGTTCACAACGTTGACACACTTCTCAGCGTGCCAGTGGCCATTGAAGGTGAGCATTTGCCCACTGAAGTCGGTTACGAAGCCAAACTGCAGTTAGATCAAGTCCCTGGTGAGGACGACGAGCACGCAGATGAACTTCCCTGAGGCACTTTTTGACAGTTTGTACAGAAATTCTTTGGTTGTGCAAACCCACAGGTTCATCAGCTGTCTGGGAGGCTGGTCTCAGACGATCTCGCAGGTGAAGAAGCCAGATGTGGAGGTCCTGGGCTAGTGTAGTTACACATGGTCTGCAGTTGGACGCACTGCCAAATTCTCTAAAACGATGTTGGAGGCGACTTATGGTAGAGAAATGAACATTCAATTCTCTGGCAACAGCTCTGGTGGACTTTCCTGCAGTCAGCATGACAATGGCACTCTCCCTCAACTTGAGACATCTGTGGCATTGTGTTGTGTGACCAAACTGCACATTTTAGTGTCCTTTTGTCCGCAGCACCAGGTGCATCTGTGAAATAATCATGCTGTTTAATTAGCTTCTTGATATGCCACACCTGTCAGGTGGATGGATTGTCTTGGCAAAGGAGAAATGCTCACTAACAGGGATGTAATCAAATTTGTGCACCAAATTTGAGAGTAATTAGCTTTTTGTGTGTATGGAAAATGTATGGGATCTTTTATTTCAGCTCATGAAACATGGGACCAACACTTTGCATGTTGCCTTTATATTTTTGTTCAGTGTATTTTGTAATGGACACAGTGCCACCTTTTGATAGGTAAGCTGCTTGCAAACTGCGGTACAGCAAAGTCAAGTCAGCCAATGCTAATGGTTCTCACAAGGATAGTGAAATGATAGGCTACAAATCAAATCACATTTTATTTGTCACATACACGTGTTTAGCAGATGTTATAGTGGGTGTAGCGAAATGCTTGTGCTTCTAGCTCCGACAGTGCAGTAATATCTTAACAAGTAATATCTAACAATTTCACAACATATACACACAACTAGTAAAGAATGGGATTTAAGAATGCATATATGGACAAGCAATGACAGAGCGGAATGGACAGATACAGTAGAATATTATAGAATGCAGTATATACATATGAGATGAGTAGTGCAAGATATGTAAACATTATTAAAGTGACTAGTGTTCCATTTCTTAAAGTGGCCAGTGTTTCAATAGGCAGCAGCAGCCTCTAATGTACTAGTGATGGCAATTTAACAGTCTGATGGCCTTGAGATAGAAGCTGTTTTTCATTCTCTCGGTCCCAGCTTTGATGCACCTGTACTGACCTCGCCTTCTGGATGATAGCGGGGTGAACAGGCAGTGGCTCTGGTGGTTGATGTCCTTGATGATCTTTTTGGCCTTCCTGTGACATCGGGTGTTGTATGTGTCTTGGAGGGTGGGTAGTTTGCCCCCGGTAATGCGTTCGGCAGACTGCACCACCCTCTGGAGAGCCCTGCGGTTGTGGGCGGTGCAGTTGCCGTACCAGGCGGCGATACAGCCCGACAGGATGCTCTCAATTGTGCATCTGTAAAAGTTTGAGGGTTTTAGGTGCCAGGCCGAATTTCTCAGGAGGCTGAAGAGGTTCGGTTGCGCCTTCTTCACCACACTATCTGCGTGGGTGGACCATTTTAGTTTGTCGGTGATGTGTACGCCAAGGAACTTGAAGCTTTCCTCCTTCTCCACTGCGGTCCCGTCGATGTGGATAGAGACCGCTGTTTCCTGATGTCCACGATCATCTCCTTTGTTTTGTTGATGTTGAGTGAGAGGTAATTTTCCTGGCACCACACTCCCAGAACAATGACTTTGCTCATGTGCTTGCACGCCGCAAATGACATGCAACTAAGTTCCTTGAATATTATTTTGTGGGTGCCTTTTCATTATCTGGATTGACACTTGTGTTTCTAGCTAACCTCATGGAGTATATGGGCGATATACAGTGAGGGGAAAAAAGTATTTGATCCCCTGCTGATTTTGTACGTTTGCCCACTGACAAAGACATGATCAGTCTATAAATTTAATGGTAGGTTTATTTGAACAGTGAGAGACAGAATAACAACAACAAAATCCAGAAAATCTCATGTCTATTTATTTTATTTTATTGATTTGCATTTTAATGAGGGAAATAAGTATTTGACCCCTCTGCAAAACATTACTTAGTACTTGGTGGCAAAACCCTTGTTGGCAATCACAGAGGTCAGATGTTTCTTGTAGTTGGCCACCAGGTTTGCACACATCTCAGGAGGGATTTTGTCCCACTCCTCTTTGCAGATCTTCTCCAAGTCATTAAGGTTTCGAGGCTGACGTTTGGCAACTCGAACCTTCAGCTCCCTCCACAGATTTTCTATGGGATTAAGGTCTGGAGACTGGCTAGGCCACTCCAGGACCTTAATGTGCTTCTTCTTGAGCCACTCCTTTGTTGCCTTGGCCATGTGTTTTGGGTCATTGTCATGCTGGAATACCCCATCCACGACCCATTTTCAATGCCCTGGCTGAGGGAAAGAGGTTCTCACCCAAGATTTGACGGTACATGGCCCCGTCCATCGTCCCTTTGATGCGGTGAAGTTGTCCTGTCCCCTTAGCAGAAAAACACCCCCAAAGCATAATGTTTCCACCTCCATGTTTGACGGTGGGGATGGTGTTCTTGGGGTCATAGGCAGAATTCCTCCTCCTCCAAATACGGCGAGTTGAGTTGATGCCAAAGAGCTCGATTTTGGTCTCATCTGACCACAACACTTTCACCCAGTTCTCCTCTGAATCATTCAGATGTTCATTGGCAAACTTCAGACAGGCCTGTATATGTGCTTTCTTGAGCAGGGGGACCTTGCGGGCGCTGCAGGATTTCAGTCCTTCACGACGTAGTGTGTTACCAATTGTTTTCTTGGTGACTATGGTTCCAGCTGCCTTGAGATCATTGACAAGATCCTCCCGTGTAGTTCTGGGCTGATTCCTCACCGTTCTCGTGATCATAGCAACTCCACGAGGTGAGATATTGCATGGAGCCCCAGGCTGAGGGAGATTGACAGTTCTTTTTTTTTACAGTTTCTTCCATTTGTGAATAATCGCACCAACTGTTGTCACCTTCTCACCAAGCTGCTTGGCGATGGTCTTGTAGCCCATTCCAGCCTTGTGTAGGTCTACAATCTTGTCCCTGACATCCTTGGAGAGCTCTTTGGTCTTGGCCATGGTGGAGAGTTTGGAATCGGATTGATTGATTGCTTCTGTGGACAGGTGTCTTTTATACAGGTAACAAACTTAGATTAGGAGCACTCCCTTTAAGAGTGTGTTCCTAATCTCAGCTCGTTACCTGTATAAAAGACACCTGGGAGCCAGATATCTTTCTGATTCAGAGGGGGTCAAATACTTATTTCCCTCATAAAAATGCAAATCAATTTATAACATTTTTGACATGCGTTTTTCTGGATTTGTTTGTTATTCTGTCTCTCACTGTTCAAATAAACCTACCATTAAAATTATAGACGGATCATTTCTTTCTCAGTGGGCAAACGTACAAAATCAGCAGGGGATCAAATACTTTTTTCTCTCACTGTATACAGTTGAAGTCTGAAGTTTACATACACCTTAGCCAAATACATTTAAACTCAGTTTTTCACAATTCCTGACATTTTAATCCTAGTATAAATTCACTGTCTTAAGTCAGTTAGGATCACCACTTTATTTTAAGAATGTGAAATGCCAATAATAGTAGAGTGATTTATTTAAGCTTTTATTTCTTTCATCACATTCCCAGTGGGTCAGAAGTTTACATACACTCAATTAGTATTTGGTAGCATTGCCTTTAAATTGTTTAACTTGGGTCAAACGTTTCGGGTAGCCTTCCACAAGCTTCCCACAATAAGTTGGGTGAATTTTGGCCCATTCCTCCTGACAGAGCTGGTGTAACTGAGTCAGGTTTGTATGCCTCCTTGCTCGCACACGCTTTTTCAGTTATGCCCACACATTTTCTATAGGATTGAGGTCAGGGCTTTGTGAT